AACTACTCTGTCCTGGGCTAAACAAGTTGCTTATCTTGGGAGTAATCATCACATACAGTCAAAAGTCTTTAATCCGGACTCGTCGGGACTTCGGCGATTCCGGATTATCGATTTTTCCGGATTATAGATCATCAGTTTAAATCTGGTAGGATGGCATGCAGAAATTATAAAATTAAAAATATGAAACCGTAATTTATGAAATGAAGAGCAATTATGAGCTAAAGGGTATCAAAATTTGCAAAAAAAAAAAGCTTAATATTTATTTGTTTACTTTATTAAACATTTCTTTCAACGCGTGCATGCATAAAGCATACATTACGCATAGTCGAAATTAGAAAATTGCAACCAGAAAACTATTTTGATGTGTACTCGTGATATTTATAATGACGAGGAATTTGATTTAAATCATATCAAAGACTGAATACATCGAGATGAAATACTACATTTAGTAAGAAATTATAAGCGGAATAAAATAAAAATATCTGTCCTGAAGATAAGGATAGTGCTGACAGATCAACTTCCAGCTCATTGTGCGCCGCAACGTCCCCTACCTCCGCAGAGCAGCGTGAAATTGATAAAACAGATTTCGGAATTGTTAGAGAAACAAAGGATATACCTTTATCCATTTTTTGCAGCAATTCCATTTTTTGTTTGATGAACATCGAAACATACTTTCGCTTTGGCAGCTCCAGCATCGGAAATTCTATTTGTCATAATCGAAAGTTCAAGCTTACTTTTATAAAATTGCTCTAAGAGTCTGCAAAAAATAATAAGCCGGATCCAATTCGAAGATTAAGGAACAATGCAATCTGCAACATTAACTGAAATAGATAATTAGATAATTTTAGCTTAGCTTATACCGTCCGCTATACATTAAACACGCATGCGTAAACGTATTATGTGCATACGCAAAAGTATTACGTGCATGCGTAAACGCCTATGCGCATACGCAAATGCATTATGCGTTGATGCATGCGCAGAAAGTTTGTAGCTTTGAGGTCCGGATTAACGACTTTTGACTGTATTCTCTTTTATATACATCACAATTATATCTGTTATTAAGAAGATTCAAACATATAAAGCTAAACTCTACTTTTTAATTGTGGCTTGAAACAGTGTTTTATTTACTTCATACCAAATAAAATTCGCCCATTTTTTATGATTTATTTTTAAAATTTGTATTTTTAAGTAATTTTTATAAATTTTTTGAAAAAAATTTTGAATTAAAATCTATAACATTTTTACCATCATTTTAAAGTAGATTTATTTCTAAGCATACGTAAAAAAATTAGAGTTTTTTAATGTAAAATTTCTGAAGGTATACATGAATTTATATACATTGGCGCATTTTGAAATTTGCCATATTTGTTGAAAGCGCTAAAACATCAAATGTGATTTAGGGATTTTATTAAAATTAGGAACGCAGTGACTTTTTTTCCTCCATGTTTACAATGAAAAAAGGAAAGGAAAATAAATTGCTATAAATTAAGAATTACGCCAAGTGAATTATTCTTGGCGCAAACTGAAAAAAAAATACGTGAAGATAAATTTTTGAATTTTTCCGTAAATTTTGCACCAAATTTTACAAAATCTTATATTTAGCATAATTTGACAAGTAGAATTGAAATATGAAAAAAAGAAATTGGCATGTCATTTCAGAAAAAGTCCAATTTTTGGGACAGAATACCTATAAAAGAACAATTTCAATGCTATGTATATATATCTAATACATATCCTAAGTTGCGCTTTCAGGACAGGAAAAATGCGATTTGAATTTCATCAATTGGCCCAGTAGAATGGGAGATATAGAACTGTCCCATTTATTTATTTTTGTTTTGCGCAGTGTGTATAATTATTATGTGGATAAACTTAATAATGTACTGCTTATTGATATAAAGCAAAAATAAATTCAAATATTAAATGATTGAACATTGGTTGAATTTTCATAAAAAGTCCTACATATGTCTACAGAAAATTAATATAATTCAGATCAAATACAGTTTAGAAGAATATTATGCCCAAACAGGAGTGAAATTTCCATAATTTAAATATAAGTAATTTAATAATTTCATTCATTGCTGGGAAACATTTTCCTTAATAAAGGCTAAAAATGGAAAACTGGGAGATTTATGATCTACTGGGAGACGGGATGAAAATATGGAAGTCTTCTGGTAAAGCCTGTATAGAGTTGGCATCTATGAATAGTAATGATTATGTACAAGCAGTCGCACCATTTTTTTTCCCTACAATTTATGATTAAGTTCTCTTTGCCATCTGTATTAGTTCTTTGTTTGTATACTTTTTTTTTTAAATGTTTGAAAAATGCTATTTTAATAAAAGTAATCAAGGTACTTATTATATGTTTCCTTGTCTTATAATATTTTTTGTAAGGTCTACTAGATAATTCTGTCCATTCCTGAAAATAATGTATTTTTTGTACCTTTAATAATATATACTGTACTGTATAATGTTTTTTCATTACGTATGACCTCTGCCAGTGTAATGGTCAAGTTATGCATGGCTGACATCTGCTTCAGTTTTGAATTTATTTTCACTTCAGAAAGTTTTGCAAGGAGAGAAACAAGTGATAATCAGAGTGCTAGGTGTGGGCAGTTTGGTAAAGGAAGCAGAACTTCCCATAGCTGTGTGATTTTCTGACAAGTCGCCAAAGCAGTATGTGGTCTGGCGTTATCATGATGCAGTATGAGGTGCTTCCTACTGAGCATTGTCAGCTTCTTTTCTTTGACTGTTTTGTTTAAAGTGTCCATTTGCTGATAGTATCTCTCTGAATTGAGCTTTTTGTTTTTAGGTTTGAAAAGCTCGTAATGTATTGATTCTTAGACATCCTGCAAATATATAGCAGCATGCTTCTCAGGCTCAAATTCAGCTTAGAGGTGGGAAAAGCAGGTTGTCCAGGCTCACAGTATGCTCTTTTCCTTACAGTGTTTTCGTAGATATCCACTTTTCATCTCCAACTATTATCCAGTCCAAAATTAATTGTTTTTTGTTCCGAGCAAGCAGAGATGTGCATATGACAACTTTATTATGCAGATTTTTCTCTATTCATGAGGCACCCCATATGTAAAGTTCAGTCTTATTTTCTAAATATGGTCCAGAATGGTTTGTTGAGCTGAATTAAGCCTTTCCACAGTCACATATTGTCAAGTAAGCATCTTGCTCTGTCATGATCGTGACAATCAAAGAACAAATTAACATTAAGGTTGAAATCACTTGCTTCAAAATTTTCCAACCTGCATGTTCTATCCAAAACTACATCTCCATCAAAAACTGTCATAAATTTTGACCTACTTCTGTATTATTTCTATCATTATTGGAATTCATGTAAAATACAGTATTGCAAATTAATTTGATTGGTAGCCATGTATGCCGGGTGGTTATAAAATAAGTATGTCTATTTGGAAATGTCTGTAGCTTGAAGGAGCAATCCAAATGAAACCAAAATTGGGACACTTACTAAATTAGAAAAGGGGAAGAAGAATGGAATAATAACAATAATAATAATAAAAAAAATAGTTGCAACAATTGCCGACAGATGGCGCTTTTGAATGTATAATACAAGAGCAAAGAATGAAAACGTAAAACTGGATGGCATACCTAATTTATTGAAAAATAAACTCTATATGAATAGACTTCTTAAAGGCCTCCAAACTCTATAAAAGGCCACTCCATATGATCATACCGGCTTACTACTCTATCATCTGTGAAATATCATAAGAACTGTTGCAATATTCGCCCAATATGGAGTGGGGCTCTATCTTGCATAAAAACTGTTTCAGTAAGACACTGTTTTTGCTGCATTTGAGGAACAACGAATGTTTGTGACATGTGCTGGTATCGTTGTGCAGTAACCGAAGGTGTTAATGGTCTTGATGGCTGTAACTAAAAGTCACACTACATCTCACCTTGAGGTCTGGAGAGTTGAGGGGGTCTTTCTTGAATAACATTTGGTGGCTCCAAAGGACATATTCTGCATACAGTTCTGAGTATTGACTGTTCAATTCAAATAAAAGTGGGCTTCATCTCCGTATAAAATCTTCCATGGGAAGGCATCATTTGCATCCATTTGTGCTACAAACGATAGAGCAAAATCCAAACTCTGCTGTGCATCCCCTGGTAACAATTGTTGATGACGAATAATTTTATATGGATAAAATTGGATTTCCTCTCTCAAGATTTTTTGAACAGTAGCATATGGAATATGCAACTCTCGACCTTCTCCACTTGCACTACCACTGGCTTCCAGAGTCCCTGATGACTCCACAATTGCAATGGCAATTTCTTCTTTGTATGGGGAGAGGTATTGCTTTCCTTCCCCTTCCACATTTTACAGTAAATGATCCAGTCTCCTTGTATTCTTTTACTATTCTTCTTAACACGGTGTGAAAGAACATTCCTTTACGTTACCCTTTCACATGCCTAAGTTCACGTAAGGCAGCTGCAGCATTTGAGCCATTAACGTAGAATAGTTTTAAAATCAAAGCTCGATCTGACAAACTAAGTGGTATCTCGTACCACATTATTGGCGCGGAAATGACCGCTTCTTTATTTTTTGATGAATACAATGGCATTTGCACCAGCAGTGCCATCTGTTGGTGATCGTAGCAACCTTTTAAAAATTTTTTTATTAATCCATTCTTCCCCTTTCTTGATTAGTAAGAGTACCGATTTTGGTTTCATTCAGATTATTCCTTCAAGCTACAAACTGCCCCATATAGAGATACGTATTTTATAACCATTCAGTACATAATCGCATCTCACTTGATGATGACGTGAGGCACTTTTGTTTCAGTTAATTTAGAAGACAGATGTTTATAAATACAGTGATAAAGAGAGACCACCATATATAGCTGTAATGTACATCTGCATGCATGTGGAAGTATGAAATAACATGTGGAAATTATTGAACAGAACTTTCTGGTAGACCTTTTATAAATCTGCTGACATCTTTTTATGCAGTATTTCCCTTTTTGAAATTTTAGGTAGATAGTGCAAAAATTGAATACAGGAATAAACTTGCTGAGAAAGAAGAACAGAAAACAATGTATGTGATATTTATTTTTAATATAATTCCAGTAAATGTTCTCCATGTAATTTTATTATTTTTTTAAATGTGAACTGGTTGCAGGGATTGTAGTTGTAGGGATTTTTAAAAACAAACCTGTTGTAGGGGTTTTATTAAGAGAAATTACAGTTTTAGTAATTGTATTTATTTGCATCTAATTTATGTTCTAACAGTGTCACTTTATTATATAAATATTTTCTTCAAAATTCTTGGTAATTGTATTTCTGCAACTTTGACATGAAGTAATAAAATTATTAACAGTGAAGAAACTCTTTTGATCTCTCTTTGGCCCCTTCACAAACCACAGATATTTTTATTTTCGTAGTTCATAAGAGTCCTTAACATTGCTTAGGCAGGGTTCGTACAGTCCTTAAGAGTCCTTAGATTTTAGGAATCGATTTTTGGTCCTTAAAAGTTCTTAATTTTGGCCAAAATCAGCAGAACGTCCTTAATTTTAACCATCTGAAATTTCTGTCTGTTTTTATGACTGCCATTTTGGTTGTGAATTAGCATTTTGGAGGAGTACTTTTGGCGATTCACTGACATATATGGTTATAATTTTTTTCTAATTCTAATATAAATGATGGGATACTCAAGTTTCTAAGCAAGAAGTAAAACATAAGCATTTCGAAATTCATTTTTTCTAATAAAGAGCTCTTAAACAACTTTTCACTTTTGGGGAATGTGAATTCTTTTATTAAATGGTTCTAAATTTGGTGAGTTATCAACATTTTGGTGATTTTAAGATCAGTTTCATAGAAAATGTTTAATTCCGAGATCTGAGAATTTTTCGACGATTTTTTTTTAAAGTATCGTGACATTGATAAATTTAATTAAAATAATGGTAATATATTGAAATTATATTTAAAAAATAACATTAAAGTAAAACATTTTTATTTTTCGCTGTCATATTATAAAGTTTCATTTTGGCAGCTTATTATACAATATTTTGAATCTGAAGAATAAACAAAGTGTAATGTTATAAAGCATAATTTACAGAACAGCTCTCAGCAAAAGCAAAATTAGCTATGTAATTAATTGAAAATGTGTCCTTTTTAATTTTTTCATAATAAGAGTTTTTCCCATGTGAATCGGAATCATCATCAGAATATTCAAAATTCTCGGAATATGCATCAGTTTTCTCTATAAAATTAATTTTGAACTTTTCCCTTCCCCATTTTTTTCCCCAAAATATATCTGGCCTTTTGCTGTTACAGAATTGGTAGGGATAGTTTTTCTTTAGTATTTTAGACATTGTAGATTGAAAAGTTTAGAAGGCAAGATTTACAGACCCACGATTCTAGATTTGAGAAATATGCAACAAGATGAAAAATGTCTCCATGGTGCCAACAAGTAATGGATGTATTTTACAAAAAGTTTGCAATGAATTTGTTACTTTTTGGAGAATGTCTGGAAGAACAATGAAAACACAATATTTGAATGTTTTACTCCTGATACTAGAATCTTTTTCTTAACATGTTTATCTTCACTATATTTTCTCTACTTTTCACTGCACACAAGCATGGAATATCAAAAATGCTTCTAATCTTATCAAATGAGCAGGCATTATAGAAAAGGATTTTTTATTAATAAAGATATTGAAAACTTACAACTTAAAAGTAAATCTAATATGTCTTAATGCATCATACACAGAGCTGGCACCTGGCATTTTCCCACCTGATGCAATCTCTGTGGATTCTAAATTCTGCTGCCTAGTGTCTTTCTAAATTCTGCTTCCAATGCCTGCTCTAAATTCTAAAAAGTTTGCCATTTCTAGATTTTGTTGTTCGGTGTGTCACTAAATTCTAAAAATTCTGCCACACCAGCTCTGTAACCGTCCTTTACCATATATATTTCATATTTCTTCTGGATGTTCATATTACTAAAGAAATAAAATTAACCACTTTTTCTATACATTCTAAATGCATTTAGTGTTTTTTAGAATAACAGAAATCCTAAATTAAATTCAAAAATTCTAAAATGAAAAGGAAACATGTTGAAGAGAAAGAAACTGAATACATAAAGAAAATTATTTTTCAAGGATATATGCAGTTATTATTATGTAAATTACCCAATTGATTATGATTTTAGCCTTTACTATAATTTCCCATTTCTGTTTCCTCATATGATAGAGTTACTGAGCCAGATTAAATTAAAATTAAATTGTACAATCTTTGACCACTAGTCCATATTTTTTAGTTTGCCTGTTCTTGTTTAATTATGTCACCGTGAGCTGCAATTCATTTTGTTAGCATCAGAACATGCCTTTATGTTCTAAGTTTTTTTTTTTTTAAATAAGAGGTTTATTTAAACCTTTGTCTGAATTTGTAGTTACTTTCAGACATAGCGATAATTTGCTTCACGTCTGTTGGGGGGGGGGGGTTTGGACTATTTAACTTTTATAAGATCAAGTAAACCCTCATAGGTACATTGTGAAGTTGACAAGTTAAGCGCTAAAGCACACAGAAACTAGCGAGAGCATTGGTTTGCATATTGAGACAAATCTCTAATTGTTAGTAAAGATGCTTAAAGATAAATCGATATAAGCTAGCCGAAATGCTTGCGAAGGCTTCAAATTAAAATGATGGATAAATATTTGAGTGTTGTTGTTATAAAACATAAATGTTATGTAGCTTTTAATGTGTAAGTATCCTAATATTGTTTAAGAATCAATGTCATAAACTAAATGCATTTGAAACTGTGAAATTTTATAAAAATTATCTCTACATATTAAAGCGAATTATTGCCTTTCATTAATACTCACTGTGGTCACAAGATAAAACACAAGAATGTAAAAATTCAAGTAAAACTTATTCTTTGCATCTAGTGAGACTTAAAATAATACAAAATAACTTGTCACCTCTGGTGCTTTAATTAACTGGGTTACAACCCCTAGAACTCTACACGAAGCTACGACACTAACTGCATCAGACAATGCCTAACTAACTGTCAAAACTTGCAAACCCTGCCTACATCAGGCTTTTCAGGTTTGTTCTGATCAGCAAGTCTCTCTCTAGGCAAGCAGCTGACTCTCTCTAGCCAGTCTTTTGTTATGAGTCATTATGATTTTACATCTCATTGTAACCTATTCCACTTGATATCTGACTTTTGACTTCCTTCAAATACTAATACCGACTTTGTAGAGTCTTGCTTAGTAAGTCAAACTGTTGCCAATGGCCTTTCACAGTAATAAGAATTGATACCCCGTGGTATCAAGACTGTCAGGCGGAACTTGAGGATAAGCATCAGTTTTGACTAAAGGCATAAATAGCGCAAAAGTATATTAACTGGGTTACAATCCCTGGAATTCTACGCGAAGCTACGGCACTAACTGCATCAAACAGGGCCTGACTAACTTACAACACTTGCCAACCATGCCTACATCAGGCCTTTCAGGTTTGTTCTAATTAGCAGGTCTCTCTCTAGACAAGCAGCAGCGATGAGAACATTCAGTCTTTTGTTATGAATCATGCTGATTATGATCTTACTGCTTATTTTAACCTATGCCGTTTGACATAAAAACTACTTATATTTACTAAACCTCTAGACTGACCAAGTATGTGACAAAATGAGACATTAAAAAAATTAAAGCTAACTGTTAGTGAAACGTAAATGTCACTTATCTTTTTTCAGATATGTCCAACTATTATAAGTGTAAAATATTTAATGCTTTATGATAAATTGCATAAAGCTTATTTTATTCTCAAACTTATTAATAATTATGTTAATTAATTCATGTTTAGTAATAATGTATACTACTTAGGGATCTATTTTATATTTAGGATGGTATTACAAGTGTGAAATTCAGGTATAGATAGTATTTTTAATTGAATTTATTCAGTTAAGTTCAGGCAAGATTTATATACCCATGATTATAGAAGATTCCAGAAAAATGTGGTATTAACACATAGTGGATATATTTTACAGAAATTTTATGATGAATTTCTTACTTTTTAGGGAATTTTTGGAAGAAAAACAAAAACATGATATTTGAATGTTTTACTTCTGATACTAGAAGTCTTTTTCTAAACATGTGTATCTTCTTTTTATTTTCTCTTCTTTTCACTAGACACAAACACGGAAAATATCAATGCTTCTTATTTTTTCCACATGGACAGGCATTTATAGAAAGTAATTTTTCTATTAATAAAGAAATTGGCAATTTAAAAGATTCTCGCTATATATCTTTTATGTGTGACCATATATACCAGATCAAGTGAAAACTCATAGGTACATAGTTGAGAGATTGACAAGTTAGGAGATAAAGCATGTGCAAACTAGTAGGAACATTGATTTGCATTATGAAATGAACAAATTTGATTATTATAACATGCTTAAAGAGAAGGAAATTGATAACAGTCAAGTGAAAGGGAATGGACATGAAGCACGACGATTTTGCAAACAGTGGTTTCCAGCTCGTCAGATTCCAAGACATTCCAACCTTTTCCAGTGCTGATCGAAGATTGAGAGAAACCGGTTCTTTTGCCGTATCAGAAAGCAATGCAGGACATTCACGAAATGCACAAACGCCAGAAATGGAAGAGAAGGATATCGGCATTTTGAGGACTTTCTGCAAGTTTTTCACTAAACAATAAATCTGATTGTGCAACTTTTGGTCTCTTTCATTCGCTTTACCAACACTGTTTAATTTAGGTTGGAATTCTAATATTCCTCTTTTCTTCTTCTTGGAGTAGAAAGCTACCCTATGTTCTATGGTAATTATTGCTTGTCTGAATGGGTACTATCACGACTCTTAATTTGTAAAATCAATTTAGAATCACCCTGTATAGGGCCATTACATGATGACCACCCTGTTACTAACATGTAGGACCACCTTTAGCTCTCAAAACTGCCAGCACCTAGCATGACATTGACTCCACAAGGTGCTGATAGGTAGTCTGAGGTATCTGGTACCAAGCGCTTACCAACTGGTTCTGCAATGCTCACACATTGTGAAAGAGTAGTGTGGCAGTACGAATTTAGTTTTCCAGTAAGGACCACAGATGCTGTATTGGATTAATCTCAGGTGAATTTAGACGCCAAGACATGACTTAAAAGTCACTGGAATGTTCCTCAAACTGCTCCTTGATGATTCAACCCTTATGACATGGTGCGTTATCCTGTTGGTAAACACCATCCCCCACCGGAAATACTGTTGTCATGAATTGATGATCTTGGTCTGCAACGATGCTCACGTAGCACACAGACATCAGAGATTGTTCGATGGGGATTATGGGTCCTAATGTGTTGCATGAAAATATAGCCCACACCATAATACCCCCGCCACCGGTTTGTCTCCATCCAACTGTGCCTCCGGATGTCAGGGTTTCATTTGGAAATTGCCGTATTAGCACTCATTCATCGATGTGTTGGACCAGAAATGTGACTCGGTGGACCATGCAACTTTCTTTCATTTTTCTAATGTCCAATTCTGATGTTTCTTGGCCCATTGCAGACGCATATGGCGATGACGTGCCGTCAGTGCAGGGACTTGCTTTGGGCTCCAGCTGTGTAGGTCCATATGTAGCAATGTACACTGCACAGTGTGTTGAGTAAACTGTTTGGGTTGCCACTGTTGTTGCTGGAGGTGATTTCAGCTGTTGTAGCTCTTCGGTCACGCGAATGATGCAAAGCAATCTCTCCTCTCCTCTCCTCTGGAATCAATGTGCTATTATACACTACTGTCCGGTGACTTGTTGTTTCAGCATCCATACACCACTTTTAATAAGAACAGCACATGAATGCCCACTAAACTTCCAGTTTCTGATATTGATGTTCCCAGTCACCGAGCCATATAACGATTTGATCTTTATCGAAATCTGATAAATCTGTTGCTTTTCCCATTATGTCAATAATTGTGCTATGTTTGGAAAGACAATGCATAGCTGCTTTATACTCCAACATCAGTCGTATATGTGCAGTGGTTTTGTTCCTGGACGAGCCCATTGTTATAGATGGAGGGTGGTCATAATGTAATAGCTGTTCGGTGTATAGCAGAGTTCTTTTTTGGAATACGCATGGCCTACAAAAAAATTTCATTAATTTATAAATTATGGGAATGCGATGGAAAAATTCATAATTGCTGAAATGGCACTATATCTATCTCACAAAAAACACTCAAAACTATACTTACTTTTTTTATTAGACAATTTAAAATGTTAATTTTTTTTGAGGGGGGGGTCTTCAAAACTTTTTATTAAGCGTATGTTTTCATAGCATTAATACTCTAAGGCATCTCAGAATTATTAGTTGGATTAAAAAATATTGTAGCTATGATTTTGTGATTTAAAAAATGTGGAATTTTTGCCCTGTGTAATACAGGAATATTAAATTGCAAAATTTTTTCATCTTTCTAGTCTAAGAGATTTGGAAACACAGATCGCAGGATTCCAACGGGTGTATGATACTGAACATGAGAAAGTACCTGAAATCGAAGTATGATACATTTTTTCACTTTTCAATGTTGTAAAGATACACATCCAATTCTGTTTTAACATGCAATTTTCTTCTCTCTCTTTTTTTTTAATAAACTGTGCTGTGATTTAATATCATTTATATTTAAGACACAATAATATGCTGAACAAATACTAATTCAGAAGTCAAACAACAAAAATCAGCGTTATATTTTCAAATTTTCACAGAACTAGTTTCGATGGTTTTACCAAACCACCATCGTCAGCTGCAAAAGTGCAAATGAACGAGATAATTTGTGCTTTTGCAGCTGACAATGGTGGTTCGGTAAAACCATCGAAACTAGTCCTGTGAAAATTTGAAAATATCTAATGTGGCTTTCTGGAAAAATATTTTTACCAAAAGAGAAATTTGTAGAATTTACATTTTTAACAAATGATGCCATTAACAATATTTTCTCTGAAGATGTTTTGTTTTCAAAAATCTGCAATTTCTATTCGAAAATAGAAGATAAATTGTGCTAGTTTAGTTATTAAATTACTTTTGCATGTTTTATTTTACAAAAAACAAGAAAAAGTTTTTTTTTTTTTTGTTTGTGTATAAAGATCTGTTACCTGTATAAATTTATGAAAAGATATATTTAAATGCATAGAAATGAAATTTAGTTAATAATTTTGATATGTAAATTTCTAGAAACAATTCATTATTTGCAATAGTCTTCACATCTGGAACAACTCTTTCCTTTCTTCATATGAACTGTTAAATTTTTTGCTCAGTTCTTTTTTTTTAAATGCCTTCTCTTCCAGTTGTCTGCTATTTAAAAAGAGAATTGAGGGTGTGTAATTTTTTTAAATTAATTTGTATCTTTATCCAACATAAAGTTCAAGAAAAGCTCACGTTTTTGGAATAATGCGTGATTAAATCAAAGTGTGTATTTAAAATTGAAAGTAGTTATAACTCTGAATATACAGACTGCTCTCTCATGTTTTTGAAATAATGTTAGATTAGTACAAAGTGTGTGCTTACAATTTAAAGCTAGTTATAAATCTGAGTATTGCATACATATTTATTAATCAATTTTAGAAGAATTAAAGCATGCTATTATAACATGTCAAAGTAAAATTCTCATAATTTCCAAATGTGATTAATAGCTTTTGAAAATTAATCTCTTGCAACTTAATAAAATTCTGTTATGTTTTGCATTTCCGAAAAAGGTCACAGTCTAATTTTATGATTTTAAATGCTAGCTGATTTAAATGAGTCTGTTAACATTTATTTGATCTGTAGTATTTCACTTTAGGGATTCATTAAATTTTAAAATTTATTCTTTGTAACGTCATATTGTTAAAATTTATAATTTTAGGTCGTATTATATTTAATTCTTTTTTTAGTTTAATTTTTATTTGTTTTGAAAGATACAAATTAAGAGAAACACATTGCTACTAGTAGCAAGAAAGATAAGAACTAATTTATTTTATAAGAATTCAAGCTGCAAAACAAACAATAGTTGAAGGTACTATGGTTATAATGTTCAGCAATACACATAGATCAATTATTTTAATAACGACCTAAAATAATTTAAATATCCATTGTATAATCATCTAAGTATCCATGTTTTTTACATTGAATGTGACAGAGCATCCTTGGCCTGATCTTGTACTTTAGACAATGTGTAATTTTTAAAATTTCATCTGTGCTGAGAGAGAGCCCAGTATGCTAATTTTGGACTCCTGGGTGGGATTTTGGTGAGATGCATCAAGGATTGTGGCTTGTAATGATCACGACTTTTCCCCTCAAAATCCACTTATGGAATCGCTTGAACCTGAACAAAGCCACCCAAGCCTCCTTTTCTGTGCTTACCCAATTCCTCTGAGCACCAGAAAATTTTGGGGGTGCGAAACTAATTGATTTAAAATATCTTTCCCCCATCTCTCTGAGTTAAGCAACAACCGATCGTGACATTTGACACGTTTGAATGCAACTAAAATAATACCAAAATCAGGTGTAACCAAGCATTCCACCTGATACAAAATATCTTTCATTTTCTAGAAAGTTGCTTCTTCAACTTGGCTGTACTGTACAATATTTGGCATATTCTTTCTTGTCAAATCCATTAGATGCCCAACTATCTCTGTATAGTTTGGGATATACATGTAATAAAATCCCATGAGACCCAGTACCAAACAGATTCCCGTTTTAATTTATGGGCTTTTCCAGCTGTTTAACTGCTGCAAACTTATTAAGATCTGGGCCATGTTTGCCGTTCCCTAGCTTATGACCTAAGTAATCTATTTCCATAGCTGCAAAATCGCACTTACTGAGACTGGCAGAAAATAGTAAATATTTCAGCATTTTAAAGATCATTTCCATTTCTGGTGTTCTTCGAATGTGTTTGAAAAAATTATAGTATCATGGATAGATGCTTGGGCAAAATCACTGTACTGGTAAAAGAGCCTTTATTCATTTACCCTTGAAAGGTATCTGACACACCTGCCAAAATAAATGGCATGATTTTCCATTGAAACGTCCTGTTATGAATTAAAAATGCAAAATGCTGTTAATTGTTTACTTAATTCGTCCATTTCTATTTGCCAGTAGCCTCTGCACCTAAACTAGAAAACTATTTTGAATTATCAGCCATATATAATAGTTCACACATATCCTTCACAGGAAATGCAGGCACCTTAGTGACAGAATTTAGAGCCCTGAAATCTATGTACATCCTAATTGTTGTTTCTCGGGAACACAATTAATCGAGTGTGCTATATCTATTTCCAAAGATTCACTGAGACTGAGACTGAGATTTAGACGCTGTTTAACTTGCTTATCTACTTCTTTGTGATATGTCTTTGGAATGCTATAACGATGAAGTTTTCTCCGTTCTACTCCCAGAATAAGTTCGATTCTTTGTTTTCGTAATCTAGTGGGTTGGGCATGTCTTAAAAGCAATTTTATTCTTCTCTAAAAGTAGTTCTTGATCAATAGTCATATCACTGGTACTTAGATTACTCATCATCCTCTCGAAATCTCTATCCTGATCTAAAATAGAGGGAATATTATCTACGTCACCAAAGCCCTCTCTGTCAAATATTACATTGATTGCATCTGATCGCATGATGACTTTTCTGATGTTATTTTGTTGTGCATATTTAATGTTTCCTTCTGCCATTTCTAGCAGAAACAAATGTTGGCTTTTTCTGTACTTTATCACTGGTGGACCCTGCCATTAAGCATATAATCTGTTGCTTGAATCAGGTGTGAGAACTAAGACTCTGTCTCTGATTTCAAAAGTTTTATTTGAAGAACCCCAATTTTAATACTGCACCATCTGCCTTGTTGGATTTCATTAGTAAACACAGTTTATTCAGTAGCCTGCTCCAACCATTCCTTCATATCTTTCAAATATTTAGGAATTGGTTTTAGGTTAAATTTCAGTTTATTGCACTTTAATAACCCATGCTGATTTTAAAATAGGTAACAGTTCTTTTGCTGCCCCACCATATAATAGGTTGATAGGCGATACCTCTATTATGGCATTGGGTATTTCTCCATATGCGTAAGGTGTCTGAGGGTACATGGGTATTGAAAACCTCAGACTCAACCCTGTCCTTTTCTTTAATTTTCATGTTAAATCTGCATTAAAATTAGTACCGTTACCTAATGCGATAACATTAGAGATACCTGCCCTAGAGAAAATCTACAACAATGGGTCACAAGTTGTTTTTGCTGTCAGACTGGTTAGCGACACTGCCCACCTAGTATGCTGTTTACCAAAGACAAAATATATTTCTGTCTCTTTGAATTTGGTAGATCTATAGGCTAAATTAAGTCAATGTTAATAATCTGAAAAGGTAGCCAAGCTTCGTTTTTTTTATGTGTTATATTTAACCATGGAAGAAGTGAGATTTTTCCTATTTACAATATCTTTTGTTTCAAATTCAAATTTTCCTTTGTAAAGATTTTTATCATAAATTATAAAGGATTGTGTGTTTTTCATGCAAACCTTAGCCATTTCTTTCTACCAGGAAATGTCAATCAAGAAAGTTATTCTGCATAGCCACTGCTCATCTCTAACTGGGCCATTAAACTTAATTTATTGTTTCAATTCAAAAAGGAAAACTTCTTATTTCAGTTCATTCGTTAAGTAGAGTGTTCGTTCGGAAAGTGATATTATTTGCTGTTAACATTTCTTACCCATATTTTTACATAAGACTGCGTATGGAATAAATTACCTACTTTTGCTTTTATGAAATTATTGTACTGTAAATATCGTAACTATTTCCATATCACTTGAACATTTTCCAGCAATTAGAGCCCTCCTGTGAAGATTACCATTAAAGTTATTTTGTGCAGAGTGACTTTCTAGTCACAGCCATCAGTGAAATCTTTAACATACTTCTTCTAGTGTGCACAATGCATAGTATAATTATCGGATATCTCCTGCGCTGTTATCGGACTCGAACTTCCAGGAGAATAAAATTCTTTTGCTGCACTAAGATTTGAATCAGTGCATTTGGGAGCTGCACCGTATTTAGGCAAAATATTTTGCTGGCTGCTGTTTAATGAGAGAATGCCTTTGTTTCCATCATATATGAGATTCTGTAAGAGTCAGTACCATTGGATGAAGAGATAACCTCTGGCTAAATTGTTTGTTGTTAGTAATACTTTAAACCATGTCTGTGCATCTGGCAGTAAATATGACTATGTATGTGGAGATTTTCCTGCTGAATATTATTCTTAAAATAATTCTTAATGATTCAGTATCTTCATATTCGGAAAAAGGAGTTAGTATTTTTACCAGTTTTCATTGTTACTTAATAATTTTGAGGTTCAGCGTTATTGATTTATAGTTAAAAATTTTCATGGCAAATAAAATGCAAAATATGTAAATTCTGATTCATTTGTTGTATAAGAGATTCATAAAGATGGATGTTTTCAATTATATATTTCTTACCTTTTAATGGGATTGCTGCTGATGAGTAATCATATGTGAGTAAGATCTAGCTTTCATAGACTTAGAGCAATTACGATAGTAGTAAACTTTTGCAATTGTAGTCTTCATTTGATAACTTCACTTTTATAATATAATCTGCCTTTTAATAGGTAATTTTTTTAAAACTAAGCATTTTGTTTAAATGACCACTTATGCGAAGGGGGCCAGTCTGAAAAAAAATTTTGTTTTAGGCAAGAGGAATAAAATATCCAAGATCTAATGTTAATTAAAAGAAAAGATGCAACTTTAAAAATAGTTGACAAAAATCCCAATTTTTGTAGTCAACCGACATAGGAAATGAAAAACTAAAAACTGTGTTAATAAAAACAAAAAGTATTCTTTGGGGAAGGGGAAATGGAACCAGTTGAGAGGCTGTTTGAGAACAACTGATGTACATTATATGACAATACAGTATCGGATATTGAATCAGCAAAAATAGGCTGTGAAGGAATGCTATTTTTTTTATATGTTTATTATTATCACGTTGAATTCACTAATTTGCTTATTTTTTTCACTTTGTATTAATTTTATATTCAATGTAATTAAAATTTTTTTCAACATATATTGTCATTGAGGTAGATTATTACTTAAATGTTGATGAGAAGATATGATATGTAGATGCATTATGTTTGTGTATAAAAATATTTCTTTATTCAATCAGTATTAAAAATTTAGATTTATAGGTATTTGAAAAAATCCAGTATGATATTTTTAAAAATTTATTTTCTATGAACATTGTATTATAATATAATCTCTTTTGCTAGAGTAATATCCACCATTTGACATGTGAAGCCATTGCTGTTGACTCAAGAATAAAGTCTCTTCAACCAGAGGTGGCAAAAGGGAAGGTTGATGTAGAAAGACAAAAGTATCTTTATGAAAGTAAGTTAAATATAATGCACAAGATTTTTTCTTTCAAATGAATTCTTATTACTCTATAATCAAGTTGTTAAATTTTACATACTCATTCTAAATAACAATGACAATAACTTTGGAGATTTTTATGTAATTTCGTTATTTGTCATCTTTATTTTTTTGTTTTTTAATTTTTGATGTGATTCAATGAATTTATTTTGTAATCTATCAATGCCATAATCATTATACTCATAATTGCATATTATCATAAATAACAGTTCGATGTTCAGTATTTAATTTTGTCGAGGCATTGAATTACAAAATTAGTTTGTTGGATTTCAGTCTAGAATTGTAACTCACCAGTAATTACTCTTCATCAAATGTAATCAAATGAATAAGATTGCTAAGCAGCGGTAATATATTGTCCATTTTTTCCCTAATGCATGAACTGTTTGTTTCACGGTTTCTCCCAGAAAAGAATATGAGTAATATTTCACTACGAAATTGATCAGTAGGTGACTTTCCTAGTTCAGAAAACCTCATCTGCTTTGTCATAGTCTGAAATAATTTGTGCATTTCCAAATTAGATGATGGTGGTTCAGTGAGTTTACTAATTTTAACACTTTTATATTTTTAACAATATTTTAATTCACTATATACAAAGCGTATTCTTAGGCCGTCGCCTTCAACACGAACAAACATTATTCTTTTTTTAACTATGCGAGCAACAGCGCCCTCTAGCCTTTTCTTTCAAATTACACAACACTCCCCACCTGAACTCGGTGGAGAGTTCATCTTTCAATAATATATTCTAGAATATTCAATGAATATTTCGACAATCAATCCTAGAGAAATGGTTAAATATAACAAACATGCATACATAACTTTAAGCATATAAATTTTACAAAACATTAATTGATACCTATCAGCAAGGTCAGGAGAATCAAACCTAAAAATACAAAATACAAACATTAGTTAAGTTCCATATTATATAACAATTGTATAGGTCTTTTTAAGGTACCACTAGGTGTTTTAATTATGCAAGATCTTATTTTACCATCTCTGCCTGGCATTAATTCCAAAATTTTCCCTATTGTCCAGAGATTTCTGGGATGTTTATCGTCATGAATCAAGACAATATCGTTGATTTTAAACTGAGATGCGTTAGAGTGTGGAGGACAAATATTGGCAGATCTCAGATTAAAAAGATACTCTGATCTCCAACGCTTCCAAAAATGATTTAAAATATCTTGATGGTATTTATATCGTTTAATAATTGATTTTCTTGATCCCATCAAATTATTTGATGTTATTTATTAGCAGGCAGAGATAGTAATCGTCTACCAACCAGAAAATGAGAAGGTGTTAGTGGAGAAGGTTCATTGGGATCGGTAAACACGTAGGTAATTGGTCTACAATTAATCATTGCCTCGATTTCAATGAGCACTGTTTCAAGCTGTTTCACAGTAAGTGATGATCGACCAATAATTTTGCGTAAGCTGGATTTTATGGTTCGTACCATACGCTCCCAAAACCCTCCCCACCATGGACCCCTCTCAATAATAAATTTCCAATTTATGCCTCTAGCAGAAAATAATTCTTTCACAGATGAGTCACTCAAAGTTTTGAAAATATGTTTTAGTTCTTTGTCAGCTCTTTTAAAAGTCTTGGCATTATCTGAGTACACGGTGGTACACAGTCCTCGGCGAGTTAAAATCTTCGGAAAGCTAGCAAAAAACTTTCAGTGCTGAGATCAGTTACTATCTCTATATGTAAGGCACGAGTGACCACATACATTAACAACAGCATGTAAACTTTACCTTGCCTGTCTTTCGTAAAAAATGGACTGGCAAAGTCCAACACGGTTACAGCAAATGGAGGCGACTCTTGGATTCTGTCTGGAGGAAGTGGAGCGATATCCTGTACCCCAGGACAAGCACTATATCGTCTGCATATCACACATTTGCTGATGATAGTCTTAACACGCTGTCTTCCCTTAATGATCCAATATTTGTCTCTGATCTGAGTTAGTGTCGAATTAACTCCAGCATGGAATACCTTTTCATGTGAGTCCATGATGATCAACTCGGTAAACTTGCATTTAGAGGGTAATAGAATAGGATGTTTTAAATTCTCGTGACAGTCTGCAAATTGAATGCGACCTTTCAACCGAAGAATTCCCTCCTCATCAAGCCTTGGATTAAGGGAGTAGATGGAAGAATCGAGAATTGATTTTTTATTTGATAACTTAATTATTTCCACTTGATATGATTCTCGTTGCGTAATTTTTACCCAATAAAGTTCAGCTGCTTCAATCTCAAAAGCACTTAAAGGTCCATTCTCTGTAGACCTTTTCAGAAGCCTCCCAATAAATCTTAATATATAGGCAGTAATTCGAAGTAATTTTCCTAAAGAACTGAATTTTTCTATATTCAAAATTGGGGATTCATTGTTAATTACAGGTGCAGTCAAAATAATACTTTTTCTTAACTCTAACGATTCTGAATTTGGTTGTGATTTCTTTTGTTTCGGAAAGTTTTTAGTAGGAAAACGCAACCAGTGTGGCTCATGCCACCACAAATCATTCTTAACTATGTAAACAACAGTGCCCTCGAGCCTTTTCTTTCAAATTACACAACACCGTTTTTAAACTGCAAATTTCTTTCAAATTGGTCTATTATTTCGCAGTCAATATCGGAATAATCATCAGAATCATTTATTCCCATATACTCTAATTCCCCCAAACCTCTTAAATCTTTCAACACAACAGTGTTTGTCATTACCGCTAAATTTTCAGAACAATTTTTATTTGTTTTATTTTTCTCGATTCCTGCAGCAACCCAACCAAACACAGAACTGACTGCGTACAACTCTTCAGATATTTTAATTTTTTCTGAATAAACTACATTCCAGAATTCATCCCTACCAATTAATATCTCAACATCTGTGTTATTTTTTCTTGAGCAATCGGCGATCTGCAATCACAGATGCTCCATGTCTGCAATTTGTTTACTAGGCACACTGATGGGCGCCGAGGAAATAACATCCGAGATCAAACATTCAATTTTTATTTAATTTAAATACACTCACGACAGCAATAATAAATACTTACTAATTTACTACAAATAATCACTAAATAATTAATTTATGGTTTCCCTACCTTTATTTGGAATTCCATTGTCCCTTGAATATGAAATATCCATTGTTAAATTCAAATCGAAACACTTAGATTGAACACCTAAAATCTTCACAAAGCCTTAATTTACGCCGCATGCACCATGAACAAACTTTATTCTTTTTTTAACTATGCGAGCAACAGCACCCTCTAGCCTTTTCTTTCAAATTACACAACATAGTCTGTTAGTCAAGAATAATTTCCCATTCAGTCTCTCTCTTCTCTCTCTCTTTTTTTTTTTTTTTCAAAACCATCTCGCATCTTATACTATTAAATAATTTTCCCCTCGGTAGTTTTATTCTTTTTTAAATATTAAAAAAATTTTTTTCCTCCCAGAATTATTACAAAGGCAGAATGACATGAGAAATGAAAGGCATAGAAAACTGCGTGCATTAAGAAATATGAGTAAGGATACATATGAAGCTGTTTGTTGGCTTGAAGAAAATCGAAGTTTATTTAAGAAGCCCATTTTCCCACCTATTTTTTTAGAAGTAAGTATAATTACCTGCTATTTTGTTCTGGTATTGTTTTTGCACCTCCTCAGATATAAAGCAGCAAAATTGAACATTAAATTAATTGTTAAAATTATATTTAGGAAATTATTTAAAAGATATAATATAGGCTTTAGATAGGCTAGTATGAATAAGTCTTAAATAGGTATTTTATGAAACTATAAAAGAAATTATTAAATTTTGAAGAAAAGAAAAAATTATGCATAATTATGAATTACAAACTTTTATATACATTTGATGTAAGAAGAAGAACTCTTCTTCCTCTTTAAAAGTTGTTATAAAATCAGTAATTTATCACTTATTTTGTAGTAGTTACCATTCAGCTGTGGAGATTTTTGATTTTAGGAAATATGATGCTTGAATATGGTGTTCATTTGGGTGTATAACAAATATTGAACTTTTAAATTTATTATGGGAACATTGTAAAAGATAGGGCTAAGGAAAGGGAAGAAATGTTTATAAAATTGGAAACATTCCAAAAGTTTATAAAATTGGAAAATGAGCTAAACTAATATGTAAAGCAGGAAAACTAAACTAAGCCCCCCCCCAAAAAAGATTAATTTCTGGAAAGTAAACAATATAAATTGAGAAAAAGGCCAATAGGTAACTTGAGGAAAATTAACTAAATTGAAAGATAAAATTAACTTGGACATTGCTTATGTAGATGAGGCAAAAATCGAACTTTTCAAAAAGAAATTGAATAATTTAAGTGCAGATGATTTTTGTATTTTTGATGATATTTTTGTAATCTGAGGAAAGAGAAGTTGATATCCGTGTTGAAGAGTATCAAACAGTTCAAAATGCAATTGATGATCTCTACTTGGATTTAGAACAAAAACATTCTTGCCTTGATAATATTAGTTCAGTTATTGTTAAGCCTGATACTACTGAAGTAGGACTACTGAATTTAAATTTACCTACCTTTAGTATAAATTTAGATTAGTAGCCTAAATTTAGCGTCCTTTTTAAGGCCATTGTACACAATAATATTAAATTATCAGATGCTCAAAGGCTTCAGTATCTTAAGAGCTTTTATAAAACTGAAGCTCTAACAATAATTCAAACTATGCCTTTTTCAGATTCCCATTACAAAATTGCTTGGGATTTGCTCTAAGATAGGTTTTTGAATAAGTGAGAGCTGATGAATGCATTAATTAAGAAACTTATTATGCAGCCAAATGTTGCTCATTCAGCGGATACTATTTTCAATCTTGTCAACATCACTAATGAATGCATTTGTCCTCTAAGTATTCTAGAAGAAAAAGTTGAAGGCTGTGGGGATTCATTGGTAACTCATTTGCTTGTAGAAAAAATTGGATAAAAATACACACCTTTGATATGAGAGATAATTAAAGGGCAGTCAACTGGGAAAATTAGATGAACAACTTATTTTTTTTTAAAAGATGATGCTAGAAACTTTCGCAACAGTAAAACTGCATTTAAAGGAAGATGAATTCTAAAGTCACATCGTTGGTATTAGAAACTATTACAAACTGTAATAATTGTAAGAAAAATCATTACTTATATAGGTGTGGTCTATTCAGTAAATTGCCTGTTTCCAGGATTCGATTTTGGAAAATTTAATGAACTTCGTTTCAACTGTTTATCTAATGTGCATAATATTAAGGCTTGTAAAAGCTTGAGTAGATACAAAACATAATAATCAACATTCGTTATTGCATTTTATGAAATCTTGAGATGCTGTTTTACCTGCTATTAATACGGGGTTCATAAGGTCCTTAAAAGTACTTAAAAAGTCCTCAAGTTTTTTTTTAAAAATGATTTTAGGTCTTAATCATTTAAAAATGATTAAAATGAGTAAGGGCTTAAAAGCCCTTAATTACAATCATAACTGGAATAAGTCCAAAATTTTACTTATCTGACATTTTTATTTGTTTTTTTTTGCTACTGTTATTTTGAATGTGAGTTAATTAATATTTGTCAGGTTAATATTTAAATTCTTTTGAAATTATGCGGTACTAAATTTAGCGACTTATCAAGATTTTGGTGATTTCAAGATCAGTTTGTATATGAAATTTTTTATTCAGAGATTTTTGAAAATTTTGACAATTTTTATACAAATATAATGTTTTGTTGCAGAATCTTAAATTTAAATTAATAAACATGAGGGAGGGGAAATCATCTTATCAAAATACTGAGTAACTGATGAATCTTGAGCATCATGTTTTGGACAGTTTTAAATTGATTTTCAATACCTTCATTTAGAACTATGACTATGTAGTAGCATTTTAAAAAGGACTAATACTATTGCAGATCTTGAACACTAGTCTTTTGCATACATTTTCAAAAAGCTGTTTGGTTTGTAAATGCATCAAAAATATTCTTTGCTATACTTTGAAAGAAAATTTATTCTAATACCCAGAATATAGAAACAAAAATAAATTAATTTTTATTTGAAAATTCCAAAAGGAAAATAAAGAAATAAGCTAAAATATTTTATTTGTTGATTATTCTTCTCTTTCTTTTTAATAAATCATTGTTGTGAAGAAACAGTCCTCCTCTTAGGATTCAAAGCATAGCTCCTAAATAAAGAAAAAAAATTGCATTATTTAAAAGTACATGATAACTTATTCTAAATTTGTATGTGACATTTCATTTCAGCATCTCTTCATAATAATTACACGTAACAAATGTACTTGCACATAGCCTTGAATTCTTAGAAACAAATATAAATTTTCTTCCATGAACTTAATTATTTAATACCAGTATAAAATGTAACTGATTTTAATTGTGTATTAAAAATATAAGTGTACTAGTAGTAACCAAACGCTAAACAAATTGCTTTTCAGGGAACAGCAGCAAGGTGGCTCATATAATATTTTAATTTATAAACATCATTGCTATTTGAAAAAAGTTTGAGAAATGCTCTGTTGTGAGACCTAATCAAATAATGTGAAACAGAAAAAAAGTTAATTAAATTATGGTTAATAGTAGTAATTTCAGCTGTATGTTTCAATCTTAATAATCAACATTAAAAAAATTCTCAAAAAGTGTTAAATCAGATTGAAAACTACTTTTCCAACAAAATATGAATTTATATGTAACAGCATTTAATACTTGCATCACTTGTAAAATGTACAAAATTTTGAAACGCGTGCATAAAGCCAATACAGTATCAATGAATAATAATATTTATTAAAACCAATAGAGTATTAATGACATTACTTAATGCACGAACTTCAAAACTTTCACAATTAACAAACACATGAACAATGATGTTATATGCATTCATCCTCTCAATTAACTAGTAAGTTTGAGTGCTTCGTATCTTAGATGTAGCAAAAACTGTTTGCCGATTTAATATTTTAAATGTTCCTCTCATAGATATTTTAATACTTGTATATTTTGCATAGAGTGACATCTTTAGTTTTGTAGATATTCAGCTGTTTACTAATTGCAATTACTTTTTACAGCCGGAACAGATGATACTTGATTGTACTAAGTGGTACTTAAGACATTAGCTTAACACATTTGCAAGAAAAATATTAGATACTGCAAGGCAGGGTACAAAGGCTGAATCTGAAAACTTACTGACTTTAATTGTGAAGATATTTAATACTTGAAATATTTGTGATTAGATAATATGTTTTACATCACTGATATCTAACAGTGATATGATATACTTTAAGTATAAATATGCAGTGAAACCTGTACAATTTTCATACTTCATGGAGGTGGTTATTTCACAAATCATGATTCTTAGTAATATTCAATGTCAATGTTTGTATTACTGGAGACACTTACAGAGGTATAGTTGCTGAGGAAGAATTTTCCCTACTTCAAACAATACTTACACCTTAAAATCATTTAAAAAAGTATATTTTTCTGGCACTGTTATTTAAAAAATTTAACTCTTCTACTCTAAACAAAAATTTATATTTTTTATGCTTAAGAGTCATTCATTTAGTTGTTACTTATAGGAAGATATTTTAAATGCCTAAGAAGTTTAATTTATGAAAAACAGCTTTAAGATATACAGTCAAAAGTCATTAATCCGGACTTGTCAGGACTTCGGCGATTCCGGATTATCGATTTTTCCGGATTATAGATCATCAGTTTAAATCTGGTAAGATGGCATGCAGAAATTATAAAATTAAAAATATGAAACCGTAATTTATGAAATAAAGAACAATTATGATCTAAAGGGTGTCAAAATTTACCAAAAAAAAAAAAAAAAAAAAAAAAAAAAAAAAAGCTTAATATTTTTTTGTTTACTTTATTAAACATTTCTTTCAATGTAAGTTATTTAAGTGATATTTCATTTTTTATGTGATAATACATTCTCTTTAATTCTATAAACAGACATAATTTCTTGTTCAGGTACAAAGTTCCGCTGTTCAAGTCCTATAATGGCTGTGTCAAGAATACCGACTAATTTGTCAATCGAAATTTTTTCGTTTTCAATAACCTCTGTTACTTTCTTCGCTATCGGAAGCGAATTATAATGATGAGGAATTTGATTTAAATCATATCAAAGACGGAGTACATCGAGATGAAATACTACATTTAGTAAGGAATTATAAGCCAAATAAAATAAAAACATCTGCCCTGAAGATAAGGTTAGTGCTGACAGATCAACTTCCAATTCATTGTGCGCGGGGCGACATTAAAGATAAACAAAGTTTAGATAAACAACGTTAAAGTTTAGATAAACAAAGGATATGCCTCTATCCATTTTTTGTAGCAATTCCACTTTTTGTTTAATGGACTTCGAAACATACTTTCGCTTTGTAGATCTTTTACATATTAGTAAATCAAACATTTTTGAGCATCAAGCATTTTTGAGTATGCAAATTGCTATCTTGCAAAGATAAAGGGACAAAATAGAATAAAAAAGAAACAAGACTTACTGGGAGAACTCTTACTCACAGCATTGTGACAAAATTGCCCGGAAATGTGGGTGAAGCAAAATTTTTCTTGCCGAGGAATAAACAGAAGGACTCCCACATTCCTTTGTGTGACTCCTCACCAACGTGATCCTCGTTGTGATCCTCGTTAACAGGAAGAAGTCTGTCGTCACTATATTGCATCTGCTTAAAACTGTGGTTCCATTCTGCTATAAAGCAATATTTTAGCAATGTAGACATTCCAAGTTAATTGTAATCACATATATTGTTTTCTAGTAATGCAGTGTCAAACTGGTGGCTCACGGGCTGCACGTGACCCTTGAAGCCCCACTCTTTGTGAATACAGTTTCCATAAATTAATTAACATTATTATGACAAGAATTTGAAGAAAAAATTTAAGATTTAATGGTTTGGAGCTCAGTTTTATTTTATTTTCATTACCAAACATGTACATAACTCTTTGGAAGATCTAGAAAAAGAGCTAATTAATTTACACTTTGACATAAATATTCCTCAAAGAGTTTAAGATACAAATTTGATTAACATTTGTTAGTACTTGTCAAAAGATAAATATCGTAAGTTATGATATTTTGCAATTAGAAAACTCACTTTTTTTTTTTAGTACATTAACATGAGAACAGATTTTTTTTTTTGTAGTTGAAAATTAATAAGTCTACGAAAAGAACCAGACTACCGATGAGTATCTACAATTTGTGGTGATACATTTTAGTAATTTCCAAGATTACGAATTTCATGAAAATCAAAACATCATGAGGTGTAGCAAAACAAAGATGTTTGAAATAATTTACACAAAAATGTTATTTTTTCTGCTTTCTGCCTTAGAAAAATCTAATGTATAAAAGAAAGAGAATAGTTTGTCATTATTTATTCTCAAATTTTGTCCCTGTTGGGAACTTTCGTATATTTTTTTTTTAGTTTCGATTTAAAATAAGTTACTTAGTATTCCAATGTATTACAATTAGTTGAATAAATGCCAATCTGAAAATTTTAATATTTAGCTGTCTGTTTGAATTCCAAATTGTGACCAAGAGAAATTTCTCGCAGTAAACAGCTTTTAGATTTCAGGCAAAATATAAGTATAAATTTGTTTGTATGTTTGTATATTTTTTAAAAGGGCAACTAAAGGAAGACTGTATTTAAACTGGGAATTTTCTTAACAGCATTGTGTAATTTACTTAAATAAAGAACTATAATTCATGAAGATCTAATTAAAAGTGCAGATTTCTCAGGAAGGCACAAAAAGGATTGTAAATCGAGAGGTGTTTGAAACTACTTTTCTAGAGTGGTTTCAAGCTATGAAACTAAAAAAAAAATTTCATATTTGTAGAATTCTTATAAGTGTAGAAGCCATGCACTTCGCTAAAATGCTAGGAGATAATTTTATGCCAACTGATGAAAGGCTTAAAAGTTGCAAAGATAGAAATAGTATCGTTCATCAGAAACTGCGTGGTAAAAAGCAAGAGTCAGATCATCATGTGGCTAATACCTGGATGATTTTTTTTTTACCTAGATTGCTGAATGAATAAACTACTATTATATCTAAAATTAAAAAATATAAACTATAAAATAAAATTCAATAAACTTTTACAACTCACAAATGTCAGAATGTAGTGCTAATAAAACATCCGTGAACCGAACCGAAAGAGAAAAAGAGAATTGCTCTAGTGAAAAACCATACAGCTACCTGATAAAATTACCCCTGCCCTTCAGAAAATCACCCCAAAAATTTCTTAGTTGATAACTAAACCTCCCCTCCCCCCAAAAATGCAGAAGAAAAACAGGAAATGAAACACAGATGAATCCTGTTTTTTCTTTGCTGATTCCATCTTTCTATTGTGAATGAGCTCACCGGAGAGCTGCAATAAAACAAAGATACAGTTGTTGGCATGGTCCTAGTGTCTCAGTGATCCCACTCTGGACACACCTGATGTTCGCCGTTTGATTTTAAGCAAGATTTCAAGGTAAAAATTTAAAACTGATATAAAATAGATTATTATACAGCCGGTTTATGTTGTGCTGCCATCTAGTGTAAATAAAGAAGGTTCAAAGTAACCTAAAAATCCTTTTTCATTCAATTTTTCGTACAAAGGAAAATTTTTAGGTGTACCTAGACTAGGCACACCATGCTGCAAAGGTTTAAGAAATGCAAATAATAAAAATAATTAATAGTAACCGAATTTTCAGGTATTAATTAGTAACTATTTAAATTCATTATTAAAAATATATATATTTGTCATTTAAAGAGAAAAAGCTCCTGATTGCTTTAAAGAAAAAAGTAGTGTCTTAAGTTGGCGAGTATGGATAACTCTGCAGCACCCAACCACAGATTTCTTTCTGAGAAACATTAAATTAGTTTTTATACACTTATCATTACAGGAAAGGTGTTTAAAAGATTATAAACAAAATAGAATCCTGTGTACATGTAAGTGTTTTGCAAGAAATTACTTATTTGATATCTTTGTTTGAGTCCACGTATATTCTAATCAAGTTGGGTGGGAGGGAGGCAAGCTGTTAAAACATTGATTGTATACTCCTGCTATGAAGAGAGGAGCCCCACTCAAATGAATCATCCCATTCAAGCAAACAGAGATGGAAGGAAGAAGGTTAGGAGTACCAGTTTGGAGGACAATAGCTCTCATTTCCTAAAATTTGAAATGCAGAAAAATCAGCCCAATTTGCTCAGTAGTAATGAGATAAAATGATTTAGAAATTTTCCATCTTTACCTCAAATAGGAATTGAATTGTTTCTTGTTAAGATATTTCCCCTGAAAGAAAATGAACTCAGCTTGATCAATGGCTTTTCTTCCTTAAAGAGACTATAAAAATTGAAATTATGCATGGACTTTTTATGAAACACATCCCTACCTGTCATTACAAGTAATACTATACTGATAAATGTATGCGAAATAAAGTGTGTTCTAGGTGGTGGATGTCAGAAGTGCAAAAGAAAATAAGGATCTGCATAAATTTGAATTTATGTAAGTTGGGTTATTACTGTAGTAAGTGCTTTGCAGTCTAACATTTTTCTTAGCGGTGAATGCAATAGTTTCAATTATGATATTGATTTATAATTTAAATTTATTCTTACATAGTCCTTTTAAAATCTTATCATATGTAATTTCTTTTTGAAAGCCAAGAAGAGCATTGCACATGTGATTTTCTCATATTGAACTGGCTTCCATTTCTCTTTTAGTAATTTTGTAGAATGGAATGGGGTAGTGAGATTTTCTGTTATAATAAGATACTGTTCATGATTATTTTCACCACAAGTATAATTGTTTTCTTATAAGCCATTGTGAGTGCACAGTTAAATCTGTTATTAATAAATGACTTTTGTACAAAATTTAAATAATGAATTGCATTGTTTCAGTTTGCCATGCCTGTTAAAAGAAACAGTGCTTTCATGCACTAACAGTTGTTATTTGTCCTCAAAGCTCTTAGTTGAGTCTGACTCTTAGTTGTGTCGTTGATTGCAAAATTAGTTTTATAACTTTCTGTCTGGCAATTCTAAGATTGTAATACATGTCCAGTAAAAAATAGTCGTGCAGTTATTTCATCTGGTACATATATACTTAGAAAATTTGAAGTTTCAGAAGTGAAAATATCTTTTTTTTAAGAAAATTATTATTATGATTTCATTTTAAGATAACTTATTTTCTTCTTTTCAATCATGATTATACCTTTTCATTGCATTGATTGCACCAATAAGAAATATGTTTCTCTAATTAGTGTATAAATTAATGACTCGGTCAAAAAAAAATCACATTGTTTATTTTGCAAACAGAATATTTCTTTGCAACTGTATGCTATAAATTTTGTTGCATGTTGTGTAAAAAAGTAAGTAAAATGAGGATTGTTATTTTTATGATAATTTTTATTGTTTTGATTAGTAACATAAAGCAAAATTTTTGTTATAAATCAGTGGCTGTTTCATTTTAAATAATAATAAATAATGTGTATTTTGGAATAAATATATTAGTAGCACTATTTGAAATAATTAAATATTGCTATTATAGTAATTTTTGGATTAATTAATTTTGTTGTAACAGTTTTTCTTGTAATAGTTTTTAGCTGTAAGTTTCTGCACAAATGATGATCTTTTATTCTGTGCAATTGGGTGTTTTTCTTTTTTAGATTAAAATAAATGATGAAGATCGGAAATATATTGAAAACCATATAAAGCGAAGAGATCTCTTTGCTTTTATCTGTACTGATAAAGAAGATAATAAAACCTTTACTAAGCTTGTAAGAGTAGAGAAAAAGCTGAATATCAATATTGTTCTAGCTCCTGAAGAGAGTTTATCTAGTTTCAATACACTTGAATTGACATCAGAACATAGGTATTGAATAATTCATTATTTGCAGTTTAATATTTTTAAGCGTTTTTATTTCAATTCTGAACTTACTAATAGAATATTTAAAAATAATTAGTTTTTATTATGTAATTCGATATAACATAGTTAAAATTATATATTTTAAATCACTTGACATATTCTAAAGAAAAACTTAATTTTTTGAATTTATTCATTTAATGTAAAAGTTATAAATAAATGTCTGAAGTCTACTTCACAAGCCCCTGTATTGTTTGCAGATTATTCCAGTTTTTGTTTTGTGTTTGTGGCTTATCCCACCCATTCGACTGCAATATCAGATCAGGTCCATGAACCCATGGACTTCAAAACCTCAAAGAATAACTCCAGGGCAGGAGAGTAGTTGGCTACTCAGGCAACCGATGGAAAATAGGCAGGAGTGTCTTGGGTCAAGTTGCATTTTGGTAAAAAAGGAATAGACTTTAATTCCTGACACAAAATGTAGAGCACACAGATGACCAGTGGGCAGCCTAGCCAGAGCCATTTGTTCAAATCTATTGCTTGCCTCTGTTAGGGCAGTGCCGGGGCAATTATCAATGTACAACTCGTGTGGGGAGCCTTTCTCCAAGAGGAATTGTTTTCTAACCTGACTCATGAAGCAAGTTCTGAGAAAGCCATTATTAGGAGAATCCTTAAAACTGCCATTCCTGACCAGTCTGCCTGTTATCTCATTACAATAAACCTCTACATGTGAAAGTACCCATTGAAAAAATATCTTATTATGGGCACACAAGCAACTGAAATTCAAAGTAGTTCTGTCTCCATGTTTCCACTACTCAGCCAAGTGCCGAATAGAGCTCCAGCTATTGTTCAGAATCCTGATGTTAGTATTGACTCTCTCGTTGACAGAATAACTCAATGCCTTCTCATTAGCAATGAGTTCTGCCCCCAAAATGGAGCAGTACTCCGGGTTTCTTCTAGAAATCTGAATTCCATTCCTGTGCCTGATAAATATTCTGCTACCCGAGAAACAGCCATCACCCCTGCTACCATCAATATAAATCTGTAATGCATCACCAGGGATTTTGTGAATAGCCTTCAAAGCCAGCTGCCTAAGATAATCAGGGTGCTGCATACCTTTGCTAATATAAGAGCAAAGTTTAGTCCTAAAAAAAATATTACTAAATGTCACAGCAAACTTCGAACAGCAGGCCAGAGAGACATGTTAAACATCACTTTGCCATCCCACACTTTCAGCATGGTGGCTGAGCAGGCTTTCTCTCTTCAAACAATGATTATTGTTCCAGTTAAATATATTTCTAGAGGTTCTGTGCTGATCACCTAAACTGCTGAGCTTAGCAAAGTATTTGGCCTATAGATACCTACTCTGGAGTCTGAGGGGTTGAAGATTGTCCTCATACAGAGCAGTGTCCTTAGAAAGTTATTGCACAGACCAGTAATGGTTCAGGTTGCAGTCAGTTGTACCCGTTCTAGTTTATCTAGGTTGCTTCCATAAGCAATTTGATAAACCTGAATATCATATTCGAGCACAGGCTTAGTGAGGGCAATGTATATGTTTTTTAGAGTCTAAGCATCCGCACTCGAGTCTCTACCAGAAATATATTAAAAAATTTGGAGTCTCTGTTTACCTCTTAAAGCCAAATTGTCAATATGAGCCCAGCTGAGGATTTCTTGATCCAAATTGTGTAGATGTCAGTTGGTAATAAAAATGCTAGATTACAGACTTTAAGGAATTGAAAATGATCTTCTGCTCCAAAGCAAATTTCTCAAGATCTAGGAGGTATGAGTGAATATCTTTCTGATCAGAGGTGAGAATTGAATTGCTGCACCAGATAACTATATCATCATCAAACAAACCATACAGTGATGTCCACATCTGATTTTGTATTTCTGTAATTTTCCTTTTTGATGTAATGGGTTTAAACAAAACAAACCTTTATAAGCATTATGTTTCCATTATTTTGGATAAGCATTATGTTTCCATTATTTTGGATAAGGATTATGTTTCCATTATTTTGGATGTCACTATAATGCTTCATACATTTGATGCTCAGGTAATATTCATAATAAAAGGGATTCGTTAAATTGTATTTTTTGGAAAAGATTTTTATTGTCATTTGATGCTTTAATTGCTCAGTATGTTTTATTTCTGTAATATTTTGTTATTTTCTGTATTTTTATTTGTTAAGGAAATGTGGGCTGCAGCGCATGTTGAAGGACTTGTTCACAGTACCTGATGCAGTGATGAGTTTCTTGTGTTGTTGTTATAATGTACATAGAATACCTGTTGGAACTGATATCTGTGAAGACAATTTAGAAAAACTTATTTCATCATTTCCAACATTCTTCACTCCCAATGTGAAGGTATCATGATTTTCATGATTTATTATATTTTTATTGTACTAAGATCATGTTACAATCAACTTCATGGAAATGCTTATGCATTAATAAGAAAATTGCAGTTATAATTAAATATTACATGCACTTTTAAATGTAAAATGTTAAAGAACAATGTATTTATCTGAATAATTTTTTATAATTTTAATTATTTTTATAGCAGTAATTTAGTTAAAGATTTATATGATAATTTACATCATTTTAAGGAGAAGCTTATTCCCTAAATTGTTCAATTAGATTGTGTCATAGACGTAATTCTTTAATACAGTCAAAAATCTTTAATCAGCACTCGTCAGGACTGCGGCGATTCCAGATTATCAGTTTTTTCGGATTATAGATCATCAGTTTAAATTTGGTAAGATGGCATGCAGAAATTATAAAATAAAAAATATGAAACCGTAATTTATGAAATAAAGAGCAATTATGATCTAAAGGGTATCAAAATTAAAAAAAAAAAAAAAAAAAGCTTAATATTTATTTGTTTACTTTATTACACAGTTGAAATTAGAAAACTGCAACCAGAAAACTATTTTGATGTGTACTCGTGATATTTATAATGATGAGGAATTTGATTTAAATCATATCAAAGACAGAGTACATCGAGATGAAATACTACATTTAGTAAGGAATTATAAGCCAAATAAAATAAAAACATCTACCCTGAAGATAAGGATAGTGCTGACAGATCAACTACCAGTTCATTGTGTGCCGCGACGTCCCTCCCCAATCGAACATTGGAACATGCTTTCACTTTGTAGACCCTTTGGCAGTTCCAGAATCAGAAATTCTTTTTGACATAATCGAAAGTTCAAGCTTACTTTTATAAAATTGCTCTAATAGTCTGCAAAAAATAATAATCTGGGTCCAATTAGAAGATTAAGGAACAATGTAATCTGCAACATTAACTGAAATAGATAATTAGATAATTGTAGCTTAGCTTATACCATCTGTTATACATTAAACGCGCATGCGCATAACACCTTTACGTAGACGCATTGTGCGTTTAAGCATGCACAGAAAGTTTGTAGTTTTGAGGTCTGAATCATAGATCATTACAAAGACTTTTGACTGTATTATTACTAGGAAACTCCACTATATGCTGAATGCATTCCGGCTCTTACAAATAAATGCCGCCGAAGGCACATAACATCTGAAAATGGTTTTTACTTGGAAGAAAAGAGGGTCATAAAACTTTGCAGGTCTGAGAGAAAACCAGAAAGAGCTCAGAATTGAAGAGATGCAGTCTGATGATTTGTGGTGTCATTTATCATGTTCAGAAATGGATATAATGGAATGATAAATGAATATAATTTTTTCATCATTCAGTAAGTAGCAGGGAAATAATATCTCTGTTCCATCAAAAAGTTCCATGATCTACAGTGCTAATTGGTATTTTTTCTCTAGTGACTTCAACATCTTAAAGCATTCAACAGGTTTTAATGAGCTCCAGCACCTTAGCAGGAACAGTTGTTGATTGCATAGCTGCATTGATGTCAGAGGATTCTTTCTTATGTTTAAGAATATCCTTGATTGGCTTCTTGGACAAATCGGGAGCTGGCTTTTTGTCAGTGTTTCTTTTGTGAATTTTCAGGAAATAATCGCAACCCTTAAAAGAAGCCACTTGATTTTACTTCCATCAGATACATTTCTCATTTTTCAATAAATTATAAGTGTAGGTCAAGTGATTTTTTACTACACTTCAAAAATATTAGTTGGGTAATGTAGTATTAGTAAGGTAATGTAATTTTTAAATACTGCTGAATATTCAAATATTTTATATTTTTAATAATTATTTTTACCTATGCAGTATATAATTAAAATCCTTAAAATGTTCTAAAATTATTCCTCTTTTTTTGTGAAGCTCAAAAATAGAATTTGTTCTTCAGGGAATAAAAAAGATGATATCTTTTGTCAGTTTTATCAAAATACGAAAATTTAAAATTTTATGCGGGTGAGGAAAAAACTGAACCTTGAGTTAGTAGAGAAAGAATAATTATAAATTTTCCTTTGGTAATGATTATTGATATTTTTTTAATACTGACAGGCAAGCTATATAGTCTAGAATATTGTATATAGTCTAGAATATTTTTCTTCAAGAAAGTATCTATACATGCATCTTGAGGTATATCCAAGAAATGAAGGCAATATGTTAAAAGTACATAAATGTGTGTATAAATTGTCAGGTGCATTTTGGCATTAAAAAATCAAGAAAATATTACTTTCTTATGGCAGTTTTGGGAAATTTGGGCTTTCTAAGTGAAACTCCATGCTATCAGAGAGTTAAACTGTTTATTTCCATTTCATCTGTTTAAAAGTGATCTGCCATTCACATAAAAATATTTACTAAGAAAAACTAAAAATACTATTTATTAAAGTGAGGTATATAATATTACCTGTATTTATGTTTTCATATAAAAGTGTACAAAATAAATCTATTGGAAATAAACCATTTTATCATTTTAAAAAATACTTGATTTCAGCATCAGTATAATTTTTTTTTAATAAACAATTATTTCTGAAATTTTATCATGGAAATGCACAAGTTATAAACTTGAATTATGTCTTCTGAACTGTTAAATTTGGGACTCAGCAGTTTATGTTTGTCTAGAACTAGGAAAAAAATCACTAGATGCAAAATCAGCAAATAAAACCAATCACTGACCAAATAAATTTTTTTGTGCCTGCTGTAATTGGTAATTTCAAATGCATTAAATACTTCATGCAATGCCAAGGTTGTAGTTATTTTTGGCAAACAATATGCCATACACCAATCGTCATTTACTGTTTTATGATTCATTAAAGCAACAATCCAGTGTGCCTGGATGTACCAGAAAATGTAGCAGCCAGTTTCTTTGAAAAAATTTGTGCACTAATAACTTTTGTTGAATATAGTTCATTTTGAAACACTAAAATATTGGCAGGTTGTTGCTTAGTTTCATGTTTATATAAATCAGTCCACATTTTGTCACTTGTTGCAGTGTCAACGAAGCTAGGATAACAGTGAGAGAAGCTTTTGAGATTATATTCATGAGCATCTTCTTGAAATCTATGTTAAATTGTGTGGAACCAGTTGTGTATACCTTTTTCCCTTTTAAATGCTTGTGTAATATTGAATGCAGTTAGGCTGTTAAAATATTTAAAGATTTCTGCCAATTTCAACATATGTGACCTGATGATGTAAAGTGAAAATTTTCCAAAATGCATATTTTTTTTTGCTATCACAGCAGTTCTTTTTCAACTTAAATAAAATTTATTTCTCAGACTCCCAAAGGTACAGCATTTTTTAAAATCACTTATGAATTGTTGCTTTGGATGTCTTCATTTCTAAAAGTGAAATTTATTTGGTCAGTTCACTGCTGTTGTGTCAAACCTTGGCAAAATGCATAATATATCATAGCTTGGAAATTCGCTAAACTTAAATCCATATTTCATCAGTACCTTACTAACTTCAGAATTATTCTATAAAAATAACTTGCAGCATTTTTAAACAGACAGTGTTTCTCAAGAAAGTTCAAATTTAAACTAAATAAATAAAAAATCTGAAAGGATTCAGATTTTAATGGTATAACAAAAGAATTAAAAAAAATTTAATATGGTTTATTAATAGAGATATTAGTAGGGATGGCCATGTGGAATAGCGAAACATTTTGTAGGTTACTGTATGAATATATATTTAAAGTAACACAAAATCCTCTGTATATTTGAAAAGTGAAAAATATTTAATGTTTTTAATAAGATATATCTTGAATTATTTGCATTTTTATTTAAATTAATTATTAAAAAGTAAAAGAAGAACAATCTTAAGAACTGTATCTGTGCTTTTAAGTAACTTAATTTGTTAATCAATAACAGGCAGATTAAATTTGAAATATAAATATTTTACATTTTGTTGAATGGCAACACTCTAACAAAAGTAAAAAAAATGCATTTACAGTGGACATTTTTTAATTTGAAATATCTAAACTTTGGTTACAACATAAAAATATTACATAGAAGTGTTTGTGAAAATTATGGTGTTATCAAAAACATTAAATCAATTTTCCTTAATAACTGTAAAAACTCTGACTGATAAAAATTTCATGGGAAATAGGAAATGTCAAGGGAAATTTCTTATCTTTTTCAACTTCCAAAACATATAAGTCCTAAAATTTTTAAGATGCTGTCATTGTTTCAATAAATACTTACGTTTTTATTTACACATCCTGTACATATCTTGTTGTTTTGCAGAGTTTGCATTTCGAAAAAAGACTTAATATACTTTTCTGATCAAATTAATAAACCAAAAATTAAAAAAAAATTAATGTATCAAAAAACATTAATTTTCTCAATTTTTGTTTTCTGGACTTACCACATTGGCTTATGAGCAACTCAGTTGTAAAATAGCCATAAAACATAGAACTGTTTTCAAGCCAATCACTTTATTAATTCTAATGCACTTATCAGTTTTACTTTTGCAAAATATGTTTTCATGAATAATGCAGAATCTCATTACATTGAAATAAATACACTTCCTTCCATATATCCAGTTTTGAAGGAATGTAGCTTTTGTTTTCATTACTTGTAAAACATAATTGTAATTAATAGCATAATACATAGCCATGAAATTTATAGAAATTACTAAGAAAAGTAAAATGGAATAAAAATTAACAGATGACATTATTAGCTAGCATGTTACCATCTGCAGAAATTACAGGTGTTAGTTCACATATAAGTTCTTAATGAATATAGATATGTTATAATGGAATCATTGTAAAATAATGCATAATGTTCCTAATTTTATTGGTATATATATTTCTTTCTCATTATATATATGTTTATTTATATGTAGATATCTGCTGTTAGATCACGGTATGGAGCACGGAATGTATCTGTCAGTAAAGACCAAATCCTGTATGTTTATTTTTTTTAAAAATTTTTACTTTACGATTCTTTTTCATTCCCCCTTTTTTTCACTCCCAACTTTCCACAACATGGACTGTATTTTTAAATAAACATCTGCTCTTTAAGTAGTGTTTGATGATTTTAATACTTACTTTTTTAAGTGCCATGCTGTTTGTATAATTTATTTTTGACTTTAATATTTTAAAAAATATGTATGTATTGACTTTAGAAAGCTGCAGAATTTAGAAAATAAATGGGTATAAATAGTCATTAAGATTTGTGTGGTCCTGTGATAAAGGAAATTGTAAACTTAAATTTAATTCTTCAAGTGAAAAGAACCAGTAAATTAAATTTAAAGCCTTAAAAAAGTGCATTAAGAATATTGATTGTTCAATATTAAACTTGTCGGTCTGATTTTCAAAGCTGATTTAGACAGCAGAATTTTTCACTAAAACTTCATGGAAGTGGAAGGTTCTGTAAAAAGCTTGTTTAGGCTTTTGCAAGCCCTTTTGACTTTTAAATTGATGAAAAATTTAGAATTGATTTAGCTTTAAAAAAAATAAATGTTATTTTAATTTTAAACAATTAATTTTATTGGCAATTACTGTATTTACTTTTTAAAATCTTATAATTCATGAGATGAAAAGATCTTAGTCAAGGAGAAAAAATTACTAAGTTAAATATGTTTGTTGAAAAAGACTAAACAAAATGTTGTTATTTGTTTTGCATGGGGGTGACCTCTTTTTTGCAATTAATGCTTCATTTGCATAATGTTGTAGCACTAAGATGTATTGGATATTTCAGTTTCTCACTTCATACTTACCCTGAAATTTGATTGGCATTCCTTGTGAATGAAGAATACCACAACTACTAGTGATCATCACTGTATTACTACATAATATTAGTTAATTTCAAGTTTGGATAATGATTGTGAAACATAATTTCCAGTTTACAGTCATTGTTTGTAATGAATATTCCATTTAATCTGCCAGCAGTAAACAGTGTTGTAAGTAAATAAAATGCAAGTATAAGAAGTTAAAATTTTATAATCATAATTTAATCCTACATTCAGCCTTTAATCTAAATTGTCAGCCTCTCATCCAGATGGGCGTGGGGGGAGACTAAACTTTTATGCACTCTCAGCATATACATTTAAAACGCCATAACAATTTTTATTTATGACGCCTTTATGTTGGTCTAATGTACATATTATACTCAGTTTAATGAAACATATATCATGTAATGAAATTTAAATTTATATGACCAACAGTAAGCAGTTCTTATTCTGCCAAATATCCTTGATTTCTCTGTGATCAGGATGGTTTCATCAATGGTTTTGCAGAATGAATTAATGGTTTTGCTCTGTGATCTAATTGTACACAACATCTGCAGAGTTCTTCTTTATGAATATCCTCAAAATTATTAAGTTATTTTATCTGCAAATGGTGACTTTCTGATTCCCCCCCTTTTTTTTTTGATACAGTTACACAAAATATTCTACATAGCCTTGTAAAAATGAAGTTGTAGAAGGACAGTATACTTTTTAATGATCATTAATGTTTTCCTTTTACTGCATTCCCCCCCCCCCCAATTTGTTTCCAACTATATTTGGTTGCATTTTCAAAATGTGGTTGGAAACAAATCATCTCAAAATATTAAAAGAATTTTTGTTCCAGTCGAGTTTTAAATCAGTCCACAAAATGCCCTAGCTATAGACATACAGTCGAAACAGATAGAAAATCTTAAAATCAACTGAACATACAGACAGAAAATGTTAAAATCAACTGAAAGAGCTTTCAAGAGAATTAAGTCCGATATTTCCAGAAAAAAGTTCTATTTCTTTATCCTAATGATTTTCGAAGAGTGAAGCTTCATCAAGATAAAACAATAAGTTACGCCTCGAAAAGTAACACTGCATACCTTGAAAAAAATTGGAGGTTGATTCGGGTTTTGCATATATATGGTTATTTTCAATTTTCAACATATTCCTGCAATGTCCCCTTACGTTTTAGCTATGGATTATTATGCTTTTAGTCTCTTGAGCTTGTTTGATGGACTCTGGAAAGTAGTGGAAGAGGAATGGAAATCAATACCCCTGGAAATATTATGAGAAGCCCTTCTACCAGAAAAATCAAAATGAAGACTTAAAAATAGAAGAATGAAGTCCAGGAAAGAGGCTGCCAGACAGAACATTTAAAAAATTACTCTTTACATTTTAAACATTAATTAAACAGCTCTAATATTTATTCTAATAATATGTAAACACAAACTGTAATTTAAAAAGACATGTTTACAATGTTTTGAGAAATTGAATACTTTTCTAATGTAAAATAAATTTTGATTGATGTGAGAAAAGACATATCAGGATGCATTTCACAGTTGCAAAATGTGTGTAAAGGAATATATTTTTTGAGAAAATAGAGACATATGATTGAAATAAAAGTCAATTTCAGAAATGAGATAAGGAAAGAAAACAGTTAATATGCATTTCGGCAGACCTCGGCACTGAAGAATAAAATACCAGCGAGAATTTAATTTTTGGTTGCTGATTCAAAGAGAATATCCTAAAATTTCTAACAAAGCAAGAAAGGCTGTAATGTTAAAAATACCGAGCCATTTAGTGTATGTGATTAACTATACTTATGAAACTTGAGTTCAAATTATTCAGTAATAATTATAGTGAAACAGTGCTGTTTCTTTTCATTTTCTACATAAAGTGTATACAATATTTATATTTTTGGTGTTTTTTTAACATTTATTTTTCTGATGATGATAAAGGGTTCCATAAAAAATTTTTAGTTTTATAGGTTCTGTGAGGCGACAGTTCTCAAGGCCACAGATATTGAAAGTGAACATTTCAAAGCCATTTTTAACTGTTGCAAAAGAGTAAAAGCTATATATATTTGAATTATTTTTTATGATCGCTTACTTTTTTTTGGACATGTGGGGTAATTTGCCTTGATGAATTTATTCTGTAATCTGTTTGTTGCTTATTTTTTCAGTAGTAATGATTTAAACTGGATATCATAGTAGCCTTTTAAACCTGTTTTAAAAAAAGTTTTTATGAAAAGAGATAAAAATTAATAAATTAAAAAAGTTAAAGGTTTTAGATTAAAATTTTAATTTTACTAACTAAAAGTTGCATTTTAAATGTAAATTTATTGTTCATAGTTGTTGATAGTTAATTCTAAGATTTGTTTTAATGTAATTATCTTAAGATAGGGAAAAAAACAACAACAACAACAAAAAAACTTTGTTTTATAGTAATTCTTATCCAATTGAATTAAATTGAAACATAATAGCTTTTATAATTGACTTTTGCATAAATTTAATTTTACCTCTGCCACTGACTATTGTATAATACCCTTTATATCAAAACATTGACTTTTTAAATTTTTAAAAGGAAGGTAAGAGTTGTGTGATTTATAAATTACCTTGAATGACATTTTATCTTGTAACTTGTTGCATCTTTCTTGTATTAGTTCATTGGGACAAAAACCTTGTGTTCACTTTCCTTTTTTACGATTTAAATATTATTAAATTTTATATTTAAAAATTAGATCATGTGCTGTTTATTTATATTTTCAACTTTACATTTGTAATTGTAGAGGTAAAAACATCCTTCAAAGTTCAAAAGGTGAGGATATTGAAGAACATGAAAAAGAACTTAAGCGGGTACTGTATTTGTATGAATTGTTATTTTTCTTTGCTTACTCAAGTATTTAAAGAATGTATTAAATAATAAGAAGACATTATGATCATTGCTAGCATTGTGATACTAGAATTGAGCATGTAACTAAAAAATCATTGAATAGTCTTGTCATGTTTCTGTAAATGAGTATTTTTAAATGCATAGCTGAAGGCTTGTAAAACATGAGTATAATAAAGTCAAATTTAAAAGTTACTTTTATATTTGTAATGATTAGTAAATTATGAACTGAGTAAAATGTGCCTTCTTCTTTAAGAATATCTGCAAGTTTGATCGAAACAACAAGTTTAAAAATTAGATTTGCAGTTTATATTAGAAGTTTATTTCAAATGCAAAGTTTTTGATGATGTTTTATTAGATTTTCAGATTATTCAGTTTAATTATTGACATTTTTGATTACTAAATTAGACAGTAGAATTCCTTAAATCATTACTCAATTAAATTAGATTTGAAATTCTTCCCAAGCATCCACATATTGTTATTTGATTATGTTGGTATATACAGGGTGATTTCAAATTCATGGTGCAAACTTGGAGGGAACTTGCAGAACAAAGATATGGATAATATTCATATAAGAAAACCAGGTTGTAGTACATTTATTTAGTCATAAATACAACTAAAAATGCATTTACAGTAAGAAAACTTTAAAATGAGATTGAGATCACATAACGTCTCCTATAAATTGCTTTTGCTTCATACAAAGAACAGCATTCACAGAAACTTATATCTCTCATTTAAAAAAGACTTGCTTCTAACTACAAAAGGAAACAACATTTGCATGAAAAAACACCATCGCTGGTAGAAGGCTGTTGGTGTGCATCTCAGTAGGGAAAGATGTGCTGTTGTGAATAATCTGAGACTTCATGTATGCTGAAAAAGCTGACATGCATTACAATCACAGCTGTAAAAATGGTAAAGCCAGAGCTGCACTATAATGAATATATCATGCACAGTTTCCGGATAGACAAATGCCAGATCACAGACTGTTTCAGTGGTTACATCATCAACTTTGTGAAACAGGTTCTTTCCATGTTGCCAGGCAGGATGCTTGTCAGTGAAGAATAGTACACAATGTAAGATTTGAAGAAAGCATCTTGAACATTGTGGCTGATAGACTCAAGTCAAATACAAGAGCTGTTGCCCAAAACATAGATGTGAATCAACATATACCATTGGGAGAGTGTTAAATGAAAATCACTTAGACCACTTCCATTTTCAGCGAGTACAAGCTTTGAATCTGCAAAACTATCTTCTGTGCCTGAACATCTGTCAGTGGCTTTTGCAGCAATCTGCACTGCAGTCAAACTTCAAAGCTCCTGTGCTATTTACAGATGAGGTGACGTTTACGCTCGAGGGTGTATTTAATGTGCACAATTGTCACGTGTGGACAATTGAGAATGCAAAACGCAATGCAATTACATGCATCTCAATAATGAATCAGTGGGAATATGTGTGTGGGGGTATTATACATGAGTGTTTAGTTAGTCCATACCTACTGCTGCAGTGACTTCATGGCTAGTGATATCTTAATTTTCTGGAACAGGTGTTACCAGAACTGCTTCAAGATGTACCGATCTGCAATCATAACCGAAGGTGGCTCCAACATGATGGGTGCCAGCTCATTTCAGCACTGATGTTTGTAATTACATGAATGCCACTATTAGGGCATGGTGGTTTAGTTCCTTGGCCATCCCATTCTCCTGATTTATCGAGCCTGGATTACTTTTGTTTATTTGACTCCAGTTGACTCAGCTGAGGATTTCATTGGTCGAATATCTGTAGCTGCTGCATGTTTGTGTGTGAAATATCTGGCATCTTTGCCAGTGTATGCCATCTGTCATTGTCCAGTGACAGATGGCAGATGGATGTGCAGTGTCATCGACACTGTCAAGCATGTATCACTGTTAGTGGAGAGAAATTTGAGCAATTCTTGTAAACATCTTGTTGTTTTCATTGAAATGAGACACCCTGTATTTATGACTAATTAAATGGATTGCGACGTGGGTTCGCCATGAAGCACCAGTATGGACAATTTGCAAAATTTACAGTGATCTATAAAAATTTATTAAGTATATTTTTGTTTTTTGTAGAAATCATAGTAGCAGCGATCACTTATAGAACTTAGAGCAGTTTAAGCTATTTTTTGGGAAAATTCTGTATTTAGCAGATGTATGCAAACTGCAGTTTATATTTATACATATAATTGGCTAATTAGAGAAACATAAGCAACACATTACTCTCCAAACTGTGTTGGTTATATTGTCCGAAAACCACAAGGAATCCTTTAAAACCTTATCTTTCAATGATATGAGTAGATACAGTTTCTTTTGTAGCATGTATTGAGAGCTGTTATCAAAAGATTGGACAATTGGTAGTGTTTAAAATATGTTTTATTATCTCTGGAAATTAAACTTCTAAAACAAAATACAGTACAAAGTTTAGGATCTGGACTAGTCGGGACTTCGGCGATTCCGGATTTGGGATATTTCTGGATATTATATCATCGATTTAAATCTAGTAAAATGGCATGCAGAAATTATACAATTAAAATATGAAATTTATAATTATGAAATAATAATTTTTCGGATATTGCACCTCTAGTTTGCAATATCTGAAAACTTTCAAATTCGTGGCTATCATCTTCATTGTTTTCATCATGAAATATGGTACCTGGCCATAAATTATGCCAAGCATTTTTTAACGTATCTGGAGGGCAATCCTAACGAGTTTGGATGCATCCCACACAAGCGCTTTTATGCAAGGAATATTTTAAAAATATTATACATAGCCAATAATTTTTGAGTAGTTGCCATTGTTCGAAGAAAATCCTTAACATGGATTTCTAACAAATGTCACTAAAAATTTATTACATTTCAGCATGCACAATTACGATAAATTTTATGAGGCTGAATTGATGGACTACAATTTAGAGAAAGAGTAGTATAAGATATGTTATCTTTCTTACTAAAACTTTTGGAGAAGTATGACTTTTTGTTTAATGGGCATGAAACGCAAAGATAAATGAGTCATTGAATTAGATAAATGATAAAACTAAAAATTTTATAAAATTTGCGTAATAAGTAGTAAGTGGAAAAATTATGAAAAAGAGGTTAAGCAGATTACGAAATTATGAAAGCGTTTGCACCGCATCTGCGAGCGCTTAAAATTGTTTAGTCTGGGTCTTGCTTGGAATCTTTGACACCAGATGGAGCCTTTCTGTAGACGTTGCAAAGGTATTTCACTGTACATATTGACAGACGGCAATTTCAATCAGTTTGTAACTAAAAACGCTCGATCTTATGCCCAAAGTAATGAGTTCAGATTAATTCAAAAATTGTAGCAGCTCGTCCAAGCGAAGTTTTTCACCTGTTATTCAGTTTACCATGGCAATAAAAAAGTGAACAATTGAATTACTGAAGCTGCGTATTGATTTGTTTGAAAATGATGAGCCATTAATTACCCGTAAATCATCCTGACCATGAACTATCTGAATTAAAATCTATAGGTGTCTTGAGATGTAACAAACAAAACTCGGTATTTAGCCAATTATTAAAATCACAAAAAATCAATTGTTTCCTTTACATGGCGTTGAATATAGTTCTAGGGAATTAAGACAGAATTTCGAATGGATTATGAAAAGAAAAAAAATTGCATGCTAAAAAATGCAAAGAAAATGTTGGGGTCTGAAGCTGGGTGTCCTGAAAGTCAAGTTTGTTTTTGCATGCTTTTTTGTAAGTTAACAGTAAAAATATAACTGGAAAAATGAAAAATCATTAGCTCGAGGTTATGTTTTCTGATTACGAAAAGTTTCTCTTGTGGTTCCTGCCGCATTTGAAGCGCAATTGTTAGTCTGCTTGGAATCACACCAGTTGGAGCTTTTCTGTAGACGTTGCAAAGGTATTCACTGTAATATTGCCAGAAGACATTTCATCATTTTGTAAATTGTTCGGGAGATAATTGTTCAGTATGAGTTCAATTAATTCATCTGCAAATTGTTCAGCAGCTTCAGTATCAGCTGAAGCTTTTTCACCTGAAATTTTTAATTGCCTCATACCATGGCAATTTTTAAATTTGGTTAACCAACTTGTTGAATATGTGCACTCAATTTTTAAGTTCATTTGTTCATGAAATATTTTGGCTGGAGCCATTAGCATTGGACCCGTCAATGATACATGCTCGCTACGATACTATCTGACTTATTCAATCATCACTTTGTCTTGATCGTCACTTTTAGCACAATAAAAATTTTTTCTGTTATTGCGAATAGGGTGTCAAAATCCACAAAAAATTCAAAAAGTTCCTTTTTCTTATGTCATATACAGTTGACTTTTCATGACATACTGCTCGCATAATTTCGAGATGGATATGCCTTTGTACGTTTTTTTGCAGGAATTCCACTTTTTGTTTAAGGGACACTGAAACATGCATTCGCTTTGTAGATCATGTTGCAGCTTCAGAATTAGAAGCTGTTTTCGACATAATCGAAAGTTCAAGCTTTAATTTTTCATAAAATTTTTGTAATAATAACAGTGTGCAAAAAATAATAAGCTGGATGAAATTAGAAGATTAAGCAGCAGCGCAGTCTGCTACATTAACTGAAATGCCTTGGAATCAGTAAAGATAATTTTAGCCTAGCTTAATAGCATCCACTATACATTATTGGCTATGTATAATAAGATTGGCGATGAAAGACAAGTTGTTCTGCTAAATTTTGTCTTGTTCCTGTTGCATACTGAATAAAGCCTGAATTGTATTAGTTATTTACTATATGTATAATAAAATAAGATTGGCGATGAAAGACAAGTTGTTCTGCTAAATTTTGTCTTGCTCCTATTGCATACTGAATAAAGCCTGAATTGTGTTAGTTATTTACTATACCTACATATATTTCTTGCATGTGCTTAAAACTAATCTGAGTCCTGAATAAATAAACTCCTACATATACTTAAGGCTTTATCTAAGGCTGGCACTAGATACCATCTGGTGCAGTCTCTGCGGGTCCTAAATTCTGCTACAAAGTGCCTTCCTAAGTTCTATATTTTCGCTGCCCCTAAACTTCGGATCCTAATGCTTTCCCTAAATTATAAAAAAATTTCTCATCCCTTAATTTTGCCACTCGGTGCATCCCCAAATTTCAAAACTTTTGTCTTCCCTAAAATCCAACCATCGGGTGCGGCCATATTCTGCTGCCGCTTTTGGGTTTATGTGAATAACATATCAGTTATTCGTAATTAAATAGCACTAAATGTAATCTTTTTGCCTATGAGTTTCACTAACAAATTTTATTTTTATCATATGAAAAGAAATTTTTGTTAAATTGTTCCTTGTCAACATTTCTTAGTGCATTGAACTTAAATCTGTAATTATCGCCAAGCGTAATGTTGCCATACTCTTGTTATTCAGTTACTGATATAATATATATTAAAAAAAGTTTAGACATTGCTGCATGAGTCATTACTGAAGCTGTCGTGTATTGATAAACATGCAATGATGAAAGGAAAATATAATAAATAATAACTCACCAGGTCGGCATCAGGGATATAAAATACTAGTAGGTGAATGTTTCTGTTTGAGATGTATGCCAAACAGATACTCGGGTACGGAGCCAAATTATTAATCTCACAAATTTATGCTTACATGATTGTTTCTTTACAATGAGGCATTTTATATAGTGCCTAAGTGAAATTAAGAATCAGAATTTTTATGTGAAAATCTTCATGTTTTGTTATGAAAAGAAAAATAAAATGTGCATGCGTAAAGCATGCAAAAGAAAAGGGGGGGGGTCTGGATACTGGGTGTCCTGATCTCGGACTTTGTACTGTATTGTATGCATTGCTTTAAAACTTATTAATTAGTTAAATTCATAAAAATATATACTCTTAAAAAGATGGAATTAGTCTTCTGAGATTGTAAAATTTCACATCTAGGAAAAATTAACACTTTTTGTACTTTATATTGGATATTTAAAAAGCAGGCAGCTTAGAGGGGAAAATTATACTGGAATTTCATCTCCATGTTCATCTACACCTTCATTAAATCTTTTTTCTTTTATTCTTTGTTTGAAATATTACTTTGTTCATCAGAAGAGCCAGTTAATTTTCTTCTGATTTTTAGTTATGTATTATTTAAGTAGGTTTTTGTGATTTATTTTGGGTATTATTCATTGTTTTCCATTTTATAGTTAATGTTTCTTTATATTTTTTCAGTCAGAGCAGATTTTAATACATTTGGAACAGGAATATCACAAATCAGAAGAAGAATTAGTGAGTTCAGTTCAAGAGCAGGATTTAAAGAAACAGCAAATAGTAATATTTTTTATATATTGAAATTAAATAACATGAAATGAAACAATAAATATTGCTTGTCTTGCTTAAAATTAAATGTGACAGTTTAATCTTTTTAACTTCCTGAATGCAATTTTCTGATTAAGTGTAATTTTCAATCAGAATTTAAATTTTTTTATGACATGATTATGGTTTGAGTGGTCCTTAAAAGTTTTCAGGTTTTTTAGAAAACATTTTTAATCCTTAAAAGTTCTTAAGTTTGGCTAAAAATTGCAAATGCTCTTTAATTTTTCTCTTCTGAAATTTCCATCCTTTCTCTGTGATTGCCATTGTGAGTGTGAATTACTATTTTAGATGAATAAAGAATTCAAATACTTGTAACAAAGATATCGTAAACTCACATTTAAATAAGGGAAAAACAATCAGCTGCATTAGAATGAAAGTTTTGGTGTATCCGATTTCTTATTCTCCCAGCCAGAAAACAGATGTTATTACCAAGAATACTGCCTTGGAAACAATGTTTCTTTGAGTGTGCTTTGACCTGTGTGAGGACCATGCGATCTTAAGAAAGTTGAAAGTAAAACTATGCTCCCACTCTATTACCATTGAATCTAGATATTCTTTGAAGATATTAACAAAGACATAAACCAGGCACTGAAACATTTGCAGGATATATTAGGACAATCTAAATCTCGGGAAGGGGTACTTTTCCATTAAAACCATACTATTGGACACTTCTTTTGTGTATTTCCTTGTTACAAAGAAGAAGCAGTTTTATTTTGCTTTTTTCTTGGTGATGTTTATCTTTATAAACATTGCTGTTGTAATTATCTTTTTTGTATTTTAGCTAATCATGGGTTAATTTTTTTATTTAATGCAATGAATTTTACGAGTTGGTTTTTTTCAAAGACATGAACAAAGATATCCTTGTTTTCCAAGAAAGTATTCTTAACAAAGAATGACTGCATTTGAATAATTAAAATATAAATAAAATGTGACACAAAGCTGAAATTACTATACAGGTTTCCTGCATACTTGGAAGAAAGAGATGTCAATACAAATGTGGTATGCTAAATCATGCATTTCATTGATTTTTAATGACTTGTATATTAACTGCTGTTATTTTTTTAGGTTTACATGCTTATTTAATCATTTAAGATGGAAAAATATAACAACTTTTATTTCATGCGTCTCTTTTTTAGAAAGGAGTTTCAAGGGTGAAACTATGAGAAAACAAAGAGAAAATTATCAAATGAGATTTAGCATGAAAAAGGGATGGGAAGCTTCAAAAATCTAAATGAAAAGGTTTAGGGGAAAAAAGTCATTTAGTTTGAGCTAAAGTTGTACGGATTTTTTAAAAAAGGGGTATCTAAAGTGTGTGGTGTGATTTTAATGGAAAAGTGCGCGATCCGGGGTACCACATATTCCTGTGGAGAGTTCAACTGGCTTTGTTCCAGTCCCACTAGGAAGAGTAGAGACCATCTGGAACATTCTGCTGGGAAAAATGTAATGAGCAAATAATTTTTTTTTTTTTTTTAAAGATCATTGATAGTGATTGGTTGTTGATTCAATTTTTCTGCCTCACTGTAGGTTTCAGCAAGGTTTCTAAATGCTTAATTAAAGCATATCAACCTGCTTTCTTGAAATATGCATATTTTTTTTTTGAAAACTGCTCCAGTTTTAAGATTGTACATGTGAAATATTTTTTTTTATAAATTTTGCAGTTTTTTAAAAGTAGCTAATATTTATGCCACCAGATTTTTTTTTTTTGAAATTAATATCATTGACAGATGTTCTTAATATTTATTCTCTCCTCTGCCCCCAAAACTAGAAACACACTTTTCTGCTTTCTGCATAATGAATTCTTGTGTTGTACGGTGCCATGTTTGTGGATTTTAAATTCAATTTGTCCACAAAAATTTTGATTCAGTGATTTGTGAATTTTTTTTTTAATGAATGCAATATGTTATTGCAATATGATTAAAATAATGAAGTATATTACAATCACATTGCTGAGAAAAATAGCATTAAGGATACAGAGTCCCGAAAACTCAGCCTAATGTGGACCGAAGGATAGCCAAGTTTGTGAAAATGCCGGGTTATCAGGAAGGGTTTTAAAATGCATGAGTACAAGTATTTCCTGAGATAATGCAGTATTTGTATGTATTGGTTGCTTAAGAATACAACAATTTACAAAGAATTCAATTTTTATCTTAAACTGCGAAAATACTCGTAAACAAAGGAAAAGTGTGAAAATTAATGAATACATACTGTACAGTAATTTACCTGATAAGACAGACATCAGAAAATACTTTATGTAGGTATAAAGCTGTCTATAATGAAAACTAACCAGCCAACTTTAGAAAAAATGGCTACTCTTTTTTAAAAAATATGCATAATGTCCTGTTCTTTTCTGCACTGAACTTGTGTTTTGCTGCTTCAAGACAAAGATGACGAAGGAACAGGAAATCTATTAGCGATGCACCTTATTGTTCAAAATACTGTAGAGAGGTTTCAACAGCCTTTAGTCCCTCATTATGTGATAGTTTTAGGGGCTCGTACACGGTGGGCTGCTCAAAGTTGTCTTCATCATTTTCTGGCATTTCTACTGTGATAGCAGCAGTAATTTCTGCATCGGACAAATAATGTCTTGCTCAGTAGCATTCTGGAGCTACTGTTTGACATCATTTTCATCAGCTTCTGCACATCCAGGAACTCTTTTTAGGAGATCGAGTAAGTTTACATTTTCTGCATCATCATGTTCAGTGAACTCATTTCCCTCTTGTTCAAGGAGTTTTAGCCAGGAACGAACTAGTTTTAATGACTCTAACTTATTCCAGGCGTCCACCACCCATTCAACCACATCTAATATGTTAATTTTTTTTTATGTTATGGATAAGACTTTGACCATCATTGCTTGCAGAAAGAAGAGAGGATAACAGCTTGCACTTATATCTTCTCTTGAGACTAATCAAAACTCCTTTGTCCATTGGCTGGCATAATGCTGTGACACGGGATGGTGGAAACATTGCTCATATGTCCCTATTTTTTAACTCTTCAATGTCTGTGTACGAAGACACATTGTCCAAAATCAGAATAGCCTTCTTTGACAAGTTTTTAAATTTTAAAAACTGCTCAACTGATGGAGTAAATACTTATGGGACCATTTTTTTTAAAATTGTGTAGCTCATCCAGGCATTTGACTGGCTTAACACCTTCACGCCGGGGCCAATTTTTATGTTCTTCGCTGCGATACGGCGCTCGAATTTTTGTCACGTTTCATCTGGCAGCGCGCGCTTATTGCCTGTTCAGACATGTATACGAGTTGTACGTTTGCTAATAGTTATTAATTATAATTATTATTAAACAAGTTTTTATAATAAATAAACGTTAAGTTCTTATTATTTTAATTTTCAGCGTCTAATAACGCAATGAAATGTGTACCATCAGTGGCACGCGCTGCCCGATAAGACAGACTAGTGCGAGCCACCGGTGGTACGCACTGCCCGATGAGACAGACTAGTGCGGGCCACTAGTGGCCCGCGCCAACGTGAACGTGTTAAATACCAAACGAAAGTTTATCCATTTCATTGTGCTTAAACGCACATGGTTTCTTTGATTTTTCTATTACACCAAGTTTTAATTTTTGGTCACCTGTTGCATTACTACATGCTAAGATTGTTAACTAAGGGCTGACTGTTCTTCCTCGAAAGCAAGACTTTTCATTGGTAACAATGTATAATTTAACCCTGTTTCATTACAATTGTACAGTTGCTCTGGGGTCAAATCTTCAACTTTCTGAAAGTTTTCCTTAAACTGAGACATATCATCCATGTTCCAGATAGTTTTTCCCTACAAATACTAAGCTGTCGCATTCCATATAATTTCTTCGAGTGGTCAAGCCAGCCAGTGTTTGCAAGAAATTTAAGATCATTGCCTTTTTTCAATTCTTCATGATATTTCAAGGCCTTCTCTTTGAAGATTCGTCCACTAATTGGCGTGCCCTTCTCTCTTGTTTGGCAAAACCAAATGTAAAGTACTTCATTTACTTCATTAAACTTACTTTCCTTCACACTTTTCCATTCTTTCAGTGTTTCTGTACACATTCTCTTAACATACCACAATTCAATTTCCGTTCACTTCTTCTTCCAGTCACCAATCATACTTTTGCCACCCCAGTCCTTAGCCATTGCATGGACACTATCCGTCTTATCCAGTCTCTTTATTGCTCCACCTTTTGCTCCATAGACAAGTTCACTTGTTTTCTTTAGTGGAAGATGCCATCGCAGAATACTGTCCAGCACCCACAAACCTTGAAACAGTTCTGAACAATACAGTACAGTCAGTCACATTGAATTACGTAACGTGGCTAAGAAATTGAGTAACCTTGGCAAGGCTGCAGGTAGACTGAATGCACACAGGCGCCTGTCATGTTGTGGAGGAGTTGGAGTGTGACACGTGACAAAGGAATGCAGGAAGAAGGGCACTTATGCATGGGGGCAATGATCTTGAATGGGTCTGCACGCAGGTTTTTTTTCGACTTCCCAGGGTGTGGGCAAGTTATCCAGACTGCCGGGTTATCGAGCACGAAATTTTTTTGACTGTACTGTATTATTATTTTAATATGTTATTTTAAAGTGTCATTCACTGCCTTTAATTTAAGAATTTTCAAATATCTTGATGTTGAAATTTCAACAAGGTAATAAATGTTATAAAACTGAATATCTAAACCATTTTTAGCAAGAGTACAAAAGCTTCTTTAATTATGTGAAAATTAATTTTATTTATCAGAATCTTTGTGGTTATTTCTGTGTTATTCTTTTAAAATATTCAGATTTTTGTTAGTTTTTATTTTATTTTATTATTTTTCTGAATTTATATATATATATATATATATATATATATAAAGAACTGACTTTTATTCATTCAAAGTTGGCAAGTATTTTAATGGCTAATTATGCAGAAAAAGTCCATGGCAAAATTAAAATAAATGTATTAATGGTTCCTAGTAGACATAACAT